TCATCATCATCATCATCATCATCATCATCATCATCATCACACTGAAATTAATTAAAATTATATATTGTGGTATTCAAATGAAAAAAATATAAGTTTTCTTTCTAGGCAAATTTATTTTTTTTATTCTTTGCTCGCATCTGGGTTTTGCTAACCATAATGAGAACAAGAAGTGTTCCAAATCTTCGTCTGTGCAATTTCCTATGTTAGCCATATTGGTTCCAAAGGTTGCTTCCTAGTTATCTTCCCTCCCCACATATATCTGTTACAGCTTATTCCTCATTCTTCTGCTTTTCATCCTCTTTTATCCAACTGAACTGAAAAAGAAATGACTGCACATGTACCTATTCTATTATGGTTTCATATATTAGTATAACTTTAGTGTATATGTGGCCATAAATGAAAAATATATATAGAGAGTATTTCATTCAACCTTTCCTTTCCTTTTTTTAAAAAACTTTTTAGTGGTTTTTGGCCAGTTTGTATTTTTCCAGACATCTCTACATGATGTGGTTGAAGTATATGACGGGCCAACTCAGCAATCATCTTTATTATCTTCACTCTCAGGATCACATTCAGGTATCTCATAACAGAACTGTCGTAAATCTATTATGTATTTAAGTGACTTTTACTCTGAATAATTCTGCTGAGCATAGTTGATTTTGAACATAGAAGAACAATCGAGGATGCATAAATTAAAAGATTAAATTGACGTTATTATGGAATTATGGGAAATCAGTTGAAAGAAGAAACAATGTGATGTGTGCCTTAGATTATCATTAATTATTTTATATTTTTATACACTGAGGAAATAATTATTTGCGAATAATTAGAGAAATAAGATATGAGTTTCTAATGTTTTTTTTTCTTTATGTTCCAGGCTTTAAACAAGTTTTTGTAACTATTCTAACAAATAAAAGAGCAGTAGTCATTAATATTCATCTATTTCTTAAGATTAAATAGAGCTGCAGCACAATACATAGTTACATTACAGTGCTTCCACTTCTGTAATCTAAAATCCACTTTCCCATCAAAGGTAATAATTTTTAACATAATTAATCAGAGACAAATTCCATCTTATTTTTAATTAATTACAGATAACATGCAGTTCTTGTTGGAACTGCATCATGCAAGAAAATAAATGTTTTCCTTCCATCATCTAACATGAGATAAATTCAACGAGCACTAGTCTCTTCTTCCACTAGCAATATCCTCAAAGCTGTAGTTAATTAAAAGAATACTGGAGATGTGCCTATAGGTATACATTCAAAAAAGAGCAACTTTTGTAATTTACATTCATATTAATGATAGGATCATGACATATGAAGATTTAAATTGAAAGATAGCTGACATGAATTGACACAACTATTTACACGAAGAAAATATATTATGGAATTTCATCTGAATTTTATTTTTAAAAAAGATATCCTCACCACTACACATTAATTCCATTTTAAATTTCGCAATCTAGACCAAATTCACTTTTGTGCCAGTGCCAAGATGTTGGGAAACTATCAGTGAGGCAAGTAGGAGGGGTCAAGTGGAGAATTAGTCTTGAATCATTGTGCAGTCACAAGAGAACTAGGACTGACCCCCCAGAGCTGCTGGAATTATTATTATTTTTTAAAAGTCCTTTCATTCCAAGAGAGCAATATGGAAATTACCCTAAAATGTTACTAGCATTTATTTGATATTATTTCATGCAAACATATTTCAAAACACCTAATCACTGATCAATTTAATGTATTTGACATATTTCATTTGGAGCAGCAAATTATTTATTTATTGTTACTCTATATATAATTTTGGCATGTATAGTTTTGATGCATTCCTTGGGATACTCACATTCATGTAAGTTAAATTTGATATGGCCCAGGCAACATTTAGTATTTTCGAAATTCTTGAAAAATTTAATTCTTCCATCATTTCAGTGAGATCTGGAAGTATTTAATACGGACAAATTCAAATTATTTTTCATGTAAATATTCTTCACATAACTGTCTTTTCTCACAAAACAATCCCTACCATAAATAAGTATGATGAACTTTATAGATACATTTGTCAGACTATATAAAGACTTCTGCTGGAATAGATTATAGGATCCATATTTTGTTCTAAACAGTTGTTGTCAAATTGTCTTTTGAGTTAATATAAACAGAGATTGTACAGTTGATGTATTCCAAAATATAATGCAGATGTTTTAGGGGATGGTCTATTCAGAATATAATAAAAAGGAATTATGCATTTTGTGAACATTTTCCTGAAGTTGTTAGAAGGCAAACCCCAAAATAGATAGTTGCAGGATATCGTTGTAGCTAAATAGCATAAGTTATGTTTAGTGAAACTCACTCATAAGATATCAATTTTAAAAGATTTTAAAAAGTTTTAAAGAAATATAAAATTTTAGAACCTTGGAATCATCATAAGAGAAAAAGCACTTTCCATTGATGAGATGGATATTGATCTTTTCCTCTGGTTTTTACTTTTAATAATTAAGATTAGAAAGATTTTTAAAAGAAGAAATATTGTTCATTTCTTTTTTGAAAGAACTGTCATATTTGGAAGTGGTTCCATTTAATACAGTTGATACAGACTTCTGATTCTTCAAACTTCAAATTTGCAGGATTATGCAAATTAAAATTTATTGCTATAGAGATAGAAATAATTATGTTGTCCGGTATTTTTCAACCTCAGCAATTTTGAAGCATGTAAACTTCAGTTCCTGTAATTTCTCAGCAAGTGTGCAGGCTCAGGAATTCTGGGAGATGAAGTCCATACATCGTAAAGTTCAGTGGTGTGATTCAGCCACTTCGCACCTCTTCAGCAGAACCGGTAGCTAATTTTTTGTTGCCCAGGCCCAGAATGGACTTCTGGAAGAAGCATCCACGCAGAGAACCGGTTGTTCGCATATTTGAATCCCACCACTGATAAAGTTGCTGAGGTTGAGAAACACTAATTTAGACCAAGCATTTAAAAGCATTAAAATTAAATTAAATCAAATCCCCAAAAGATTGTTTCCTTTGAACCCATCTCTTTTAAATATAAAGTTATATCCATTCTTTCTGAATAGTCTGTCCCATTATTACTGATATCTTACAGATCAAGAAATAAATGTAAAATGCCAAACAAAACATTATTTCTGAACATCATTTTTATGTATCTTCTAGTTCCCCATATCTATCCCTTTATTGGTGCCAGTTTGCTTTGAAACAGTGTAGTAAACAATGAAATAATAAGCAAGGCTGTTAATTTATTTTTATAGACTGTTATTCATTGCTTTTTTTGTAAAAAAAAAAAAAAAAAGGTGCTGGAACTCACAACCCGCCTTGCCTACCCTACAAGGTCCCATCCAAAAAAGGTGCCAGAACTCCGTTCTGGGCATTCTATGACAAAAAAAGAGAAGAAACCTGTTGTTATTGCAAAAAAAGTCCTTCATTTTATACAAGATACTTGCAGGAGGATAAGAATCTATGGTCTTCTTTGAAATATTCAGCAAATGATATTGTAGGATTCTTGACAGAAAATTGTTTCTGAGGTGCAGCGTTTGTTTTCTTGAGTAGGAGAATCCCTTCCATTGAGCTCAAGAAACCAGATAACTGTTCGATTTACTTCAGTCGGACCTGTTACAGCCAAAGGATTTCACTTTGTTTATCAAGGTATGAGACATAAATACTTCTAACATATTTCAATTAATTTGATTTGCTAATTTCTCACATTTTATTGACCTTTCAGAGGTTGTTTTTTTAAAATATTGTATTACTGTTATAATACTATGTCTGATTATTTTAAATATTTTCATTATTAACATTCTGAAGAACATATAGGAAAATCTAAGTGATAGAAAATCTAAAGGTCAGTACTGGAATGCACTGGGATCTAAACAGAATGAACTAAATTGAATGTTGCAGAGGATATTTAAGCAGTAGCTCACAAATCTACTCCAAAGTCTTTTTGTGTTTAACCCAAACTTCAAACTTTAACCTAAAGTCTTTTTGTGTTTAACCAGTAAATCTGCCAAGTTAGTAGGAATGCTACAAAAAAGTTACTTTCTCTCTCCTTCCTTCCTTCCTTCCTTCCTTCCTTCCTTCCTTCCTTCCTTCCTTCCTTCCTTCCTTCCTTCCTTCCTTCTTTCCTTCCCTTCTTCCTTCCTTCCTCCCTCCATCCCCTTTCTTTCTTTCTTTCTTTCTTTCCTCTCTTTCATTTCCTTCCTTTTCCTCCTCCTCCCTCCCTCCTTCTCTCCCTTCCTTCTTTCTTCCCTCCCTTCCTTCCTTCTTTCCTCCCTTCCTCTCTCCTTTTTCTTTCTCTTTTTTTGCATTTTTCTGCAATGCTTTCATAATTTAAAAAGGGTTGAAATCTAAAGGGGAAAAGTGATGATAAGCCTTTTTTGCTATTTCAGTTATAATCTTATCTATTAATATTCAATCTAACCTTTTGCTCAGATATATATTGCTATATCTGAATATACAGTAGACAGTGATATTATATTGAGCAGTAGAAATAACTTTGTTATTAAATATTAAAACATGTTCTTTGATTTACAAGGCAATCTGATCCATGAAGAAAAAAAGTGGGGGTAATCTAGTATGTATAAGAATACAGCTTTCCATTGTTTCCCTTTTTGTAAATGGATCAGACACTTTAAAAATAATTGCATGTCAACATTTGCTACTATAATCCAGCCTTTTATAAATCTGAATATCAATATGACAAATAGAGCAGAGATTCATAAAAATGTAGCTAATCAATTTAAATATCTACCCGTCACAGAAATAAGAATTTTGCTTTGTATATTAATTCAATAAAGCAGTACTTTCCATATTATTTTGTGAAAAGCTTGCTACAACTGTTGTGTTAGCTAATGGGAGTGGAAGTTTTTCTAGACATTTCCAGACATTTGAGCCTCTTATTTGAAACTGTGATAAATATATTTAGGATTATCTCATTTTCTGCCATGAAGCAATATGCATTTTCTCTAATGTGTTTCTAGCGGTTCCAAGAACAAGTTCAACACAGTGCAGTTCGGTGCCCGAACCACGATTTGGGAAAAGAATTGGAAATGAGTTTGCTGTTGGTTCATTGGTTCTTTTTGAATGTAATCCAGGCTACATACTATATGGGTCAATGGCAATTAGATGCGACACAGTGCCCAATGCATTGGCACAGTGGAACGATACCCTTCCTACGTGTGTTGGTGAGTAGCGAAAATTCAATTATTTTCAGGTGTTTTAGATAGATAGATAGATAGATAGATAGATAGATAGATAGATAGATATGAAAAATGAACAAGGATAAAAATAAACAGGACCGTTTAATATAAACAAGCCTGTGAGTAAAAAAGTTACTTACTGAGCTTTCATCAGCCAAACTACTGACGTCATCAGAGTTAGAATGCTAGGTGATTAGGGAGCTTGCCTATATACAGCTGCCTGTCTCTGCACCCAGATCCTCGATCGCATCATTGGCCCATTAGCTATGCTACTCTGCAATGTGTTAAATTGATTCTCATCCGGCAGCCTGTTGGTGGATCTGATGATTGCAGCTCTCTCTCCCTGATCCTGCAAAGAACAACTATTCAGATGTTCCTGCTTCATACTCTCCCCTCCTTTTTTGTCTCTCCTTCCAAGACTTTCATCATCTCCTCCCATAGTAGCTCTTGCCACCTCACCTGCAGCCCTGTCACTCCAGTCCTGCCAATTGCTATCTCATTGTGGTGTCACCTGCCCCCCCTTTTTTTGCCAGTTCACTGTCCTCCCTAGGGATCTCAGCTTTCCCATTTGTAGAACCATGGTCTTGCTTTTGTACTGTATGGGATGGCCATCTACTCTGTGGATTACCATGTTGTTTCTCCCATCTTCTGAGAGTCTGGTATGCTGGTAGGAGGTCTATGTGCCGGTTGATTGAATTTTCATCCGAAAGCCAGGCTTCTTTGAGAAGGCAGCCACTCTTAGTGGTCTCATGAGATATGGTCTGTGCATTTTCCAAATTGAATGTATGGTTCAAATTGGCCATGTGAGCCCACACTTGCAAGTGCTGCTCTTGCCTTTTGGTTGCCAGTTCACGTTTGTGGACCCTAGTCCTGAGCCTTTTAGCTGTTTCCCCAACGTAATTGCAAGGGCAGTTCCTGCAATTAATTCTATAGACTATGGAAGACTGTTCACCATTGGGGAGCAGCTCTTTGGGACGCATAATCTGGGTTCTTAGGGTCTGCTCTGGTCTATCGGCAACGCTCACATTGTGGGGGGCCAGCAGCCGAGCCGTGGCTTCGGAAACACCACAGATATAAGGTAAAGCTATCCGTGTGGCTGATATCATCTTTGCTCCGGAGAGTTGGGCCCTGTGGGGTTGACATGGTTTGCTGTAGCGTCTCACAAATTCTGTGGGGTAGCCATTGAGACTAATTTAACTAAGAATATAATATACCAGTTATATGAGTAAGTAAAGTGCAAATAATAGGATCACTTGGAAAAAAATATTGTCATTATGGAAAGAGAAATTAAGGGCCAAATACAGTTCTCAGAGGAATGCATTTCATAGTAGAAACAATGTGCTAAAAGACCCACTTTTACAATCTTTGTATTCAGTTAACTCCTATTTTATGTTTTTTGTGAGCCAAATTTAAACAGTTGCATTAAATTAATACATATATAGGAACTTTGTTCTACTGAACTGTGATTAGAATGTTGTAAAATTCTATTTTTTCACTCGGATCCTATTTTGAAAATACATGCTTGCATTACTATAGACAAATCCTACTTTAAAAAAGATAATTTGAAAGATTTCCAGATTCAGTTTATAATGACATTTTTTAATCATTATATTCCTTCAAAGATAGTGACCATGATACCTGCAGAATTTGCTCATTCCTGTTTTGAAATCATTGTCTAATGCTATGTTTCTCATCTTGATGATTTGAAGATGTGTGGACTTCAAGCCACAGAATTCCCCAACCAGCATGCTTGGTGGAGAATTCTGGGAGTTGAAGTCCATGCATCTTACAATTGCTAAGATTCAGAAATATTGGTCTACTCCTAATAGATGAAGAAGCAGTGGGCCTTTTTTCCTAACCAAGACAGAGTCCAGAAATGAGTATGATGTAGCAGCAACAGCATGGGAGGTGAAATATTGAATTATTCTTAACTAGGAATTTGGGCTATATTTTAGAAGCTACATTCATCCCTCTGTGTAGACAGTTGTTCATAATTCAAAATCAACACTGGCATCTGAATCACAGAGTGTGCTACAAATGCTCAGCATAAGCACTGCAAGTTGAGTGATGCAGTGGAAGATGATTAGATCAAACATCTTGGAGTAGATGTTTTCTCAAGAGCAGCTTTTGGGGAAAATGTTACTGAGTGGATCTAGGTTTCAGGGACAGAGGTTCTTGTCTATCCTTCTGGATATGGTTGTTTATCATTCAGGGTTTTTTAGCTCATAGATTGCACTGGGACACTATTTTGTCTAAAACTACTGTGTAGGTGGGCTTGCAGATAATTAAAGGGAATTCATTAAAGGTTACACATGATGTAGCCAGCATGCAAGGTTTCTGTTGCCAAAAGATCCCCAGACCTGTTGAAAAAAAACATGTTTTAAGTGATTTCTGAAGATCACAGGGGTTGGGGCTAACCTGATCTCAGGGAGGAGGATGTTCCAAAGAGTGGATCCCATGGAAGAAAAGGCTTATCTCCTAAGCTCTATCAGATGGAATTCTTTAGCAGACGAGACCTAATGGGACAAATAGATATAATCACAGAGAAATGATCCTTCAGATAACCTGGCCCCATTCCATGTAGGACTTTAAAGGTTAAAATTAGTACCGGTACCTTGAATTGGACCCAGGAACACACTGGTAATGAAACTGATGGAGGAGAGGTCTAATGTGTGTCCTTTACTTGTTTTACCACATGTACAGTTAGAATAACTGTTATTATAGAGCAACTTCTTCACTGAATGAATTAAATATTAAAAAAAAAATTATTGTGGTAGTTTTACAAGTCCAAAATATTATTCATATAGGCAGACTGCTCTTCTCACACAAGCATGCAATTAGAAAATGAGTTTAGTAATTGAAATGCTACACATGGCCATGGCTTGCTAGCAAATAGCTCAATGTTCTCTTACAGATATCAGTTATCAGTCATTGTGTCTGCTCTTGCTTTTACCAGTAATTATTTAAACTGTTTAAGTGTCACTGACCTTTAGTTTTTCATGTAGTCCTTGGCAGATTTTATCAGTTATGTGCACTATAAAATGTAACTCCTGTATTCATTACTCAGATAAGTTTCCTTCTTCTACATATTTTTCAAGTTCTCATATTTGTATCTAATGAAATGAGCCACAGGACTTAATAATGCTCTTCTTCCAGAATGATATATTGGCTAGTAATAGTGCTGATAAAACTTCTCATAAATCATTTCTTCAACCTATTAAAACTCTAGAAGAATGTCTGTATTTAGATGACAGCCTAATGTGATTATATTAGAATGTCTAGTGGCTTGATCGAAAGTATCATTCATGTTTAGCATCAAATATCAATGCAGGACCCAACTGCATTCTTTCTATTTATGTCTAATATTACTGTCATTAGGATAGATATTTGTAGATGCAAACCATATTTATGATATATGAAATGTATATATATTTGGATATTATCATTTTGAAAAAGTCTGAAGGGTAATTTAGCTGTATTAATATCACTAATAAAATTTAAAGGCCTCAGAGTAATGTAATTCAAGCCCTACAGACCAGGCAATAGTTCTTCAGCATCACATCTATGGCATGGACTATAGAACACACTATACAATAGTGTTCCCAAGTTCAATTACTGGGTGAATGTTCCTAAAGTTTCCAAGATTCACTAGGATCTCATTCTCAATTCCCATTCAGTTATTAAGTATTACTGCATTTATATTTCATTTTTGGGAGGAGTTCAGGATGAAAGATATCCCTTCATATTATCTCCAGAGCAAGAATTTCCCAGCAAAGATAATCCAAAGCAATATTTAAGATAACAGAACTAGATGTTGATAAAAAAAAATTTAACCTCACTCTTTGCTGAGTTGATGGACCAGCTTTTCTACTTGGCAGTTCATTCAGATATTCCATACATCTTCTAAATCAATGAACATAACTATAGTCACAGGACTACACGGAGTCTGTAGAGCAGTGGTTCTCAACCTATGAGTCAGGACCCCATTTGGGGTCAAATGACCATTTCACGGGGGTCGCCAAACAACGCAGTCCGCCATTTTTTTCCCTTTTCCCTAGCTGTCCTACTCCCTCTTATTGGTGGCCACACCCACTTGGGGGTCACCACAACATGAGGAACTGTTTTATGGGGTCATGGCATTAGAAAGGTTGAGAACCACTGCTGTAGAGAACCACAAAGGTGACCTTGGAAAAGGAATGTGGCTGCTCACATGTAGCTTTAGATCATCTGTACTAGCAAGATTTCATTATTTCTTTGATCTGTACCAATAGCCCCAATATTTCAGTGCCACATTCCTTTTCCAAAATCATTTCTGTTGTTCTCTACAAATTGTATGTAGCCATGACATTGCAGATTATGCAGAAGACATATGAATGGGCTGGTCCCATTTCTTTGATATCCTCTCCAGATACTCTCAAAGTTGCTTCTGAATTTTATATTTTAAAAGAATAGGTGTATTTTTAATAGAAGAAAGTAGATATAAGTACATCCAAGGGTCTTCATATTAGGTCAAATTTTCAGTTTTAATTTCTGCCTAATCCATTGTTCAGCTATAACAGCAGCATACATCCAGTTTACTCCATTTTTTAAAAAAACAAAACAAAATAGATTTTGAAGTAATTTGATATGTTTCCAATTTTTGAAACAGAATTTGTTATGTCAAAGCTTTATTTCTTTAGTAATTTCTTTGTTTCCTATTTCTTTTCTCATGTCTGTCTTGAATTCTAGAATTGTATTGTAAAACTGCTCAGATTGGTGATGCTTGTAGTCATGTAAGCTTTTATTACATTGTATCCCTGTTTTGATACATGAACCATTTCCATAGTTAAAATATCTGCTTTCAGTGCCCTGTGGAGGTATTTTAACTAAACGTAAAGGAACGATTTTGTCTCCGGGATACCCTGAGCCTTATGACAACAATCTGAACTGTGTGTGGAAGATCACAGTGCCAGAGGGAGCTGGGATTCAGGTAAAAATACAGATGCTTTTAATCTGTACAAATTAAGATGTTTAAAAATTAAGCAGGCCTGTTTTTGTTTGACTCATAAAGATATTATTTTCTATCCTTTTTTCTTTTTGTGAATATTTTTGCAGTTCCTTCCGGTTTTTGAATCCTGCTTTAGTGCTCTTGTGTCTGAATTATTTTGAAATTGCTGCTTCATTATCAGGAAAATGGAGGATACTTAATTCTTTTTGATAGAATCCATCTATCTCCCTCTTCTATCATGAGTAATACATATGCATAATGGATAAGAAAGTGATTTGTGGAGAGCTTATAGAAAATAAGACATGCCAAAGTTCTCCATCTGTGATACAGGCACAAAATTTAACTCTCATTTCTATAAATATTATGGTAAGGACTCAGTCAGATGGGACAACGATGTCAGCTTTATAATCTGTTGTGCCTCATTTGCAATGCCTATGAGGTAGACATATGTGCATGTGTGTGTTTGTTTGTGTGTCAGCTGCAGAGAGTAAATGTGATTACATAGAAAGAGACCTAGTTGATTTAGGTGTTACATACACATCAACACATCGACTCAGAATTTGCCCATCAAATTCCAATCTCTGCACATTTTTAAGACATGCATACCCACATAAATACATACTCTATGATACAGCTTTAGAATATGGTTGTGGGAAAGTGTATGAAATATGTTAACGTGGAATAAATGGGGGAGATAAATAATGATCTTAATTTATAGCAGTTAATCATGATGTGCAGATCTTTAACAAATGACATGAATCACTCTTTAAATCACTTTACTAGGAAAGTCATTGTTACAGAACTACAACTAATCAAAGCATATGGTACTGTGTCTTGTGGACTCTTTGTATATATTGCTTTAAGGGACCTGGTTACTTTTTCTCATTTGATTATACAGTGGATTCTCTAAGAAACCATATTATCTAAGGCATTAGCAGTTCCACCCACACACATATGTTCAGAATTCTCTCATAGTGAGAATTAGCTGGTTCGCTATAAAATCCTTTTTTTTCCATCCAAGATTTCAAACAGCATTAGAGATTTATAACCTTGTCTTAACAGCACTTGATAACAACTAGAACAGAGATGAAGGGTGTATTTTTTAATCAGAGTCATGCAAAGACCTTTGAACCATGTTTAATTTTGGTTTTGAAAAGTTACTTAACTGACAATGTGAAAACAATGTAGTATCTGCAGTATTTTAAGCCATTTATCTAATTATCAACTAATTATACTAAAATTCAAATTATGTCAGGCATCCTTTGTTTAAAATATTGATACATGAACACAGTACTGGCCACACTGGGGAAATCAGGAGATTCAGGCAGTTCAAATGCCTATAAGGATTTATTGAAAGTTTAAACTCTCTACAAAATCTCAGCTACTAATGGTCAAGGGAATTGAGCAGTAATTAAGAGGCATTCAAGGTGGGTTGGATTTAGATCTCTTGTAGGCACATAGAGATTTGTGACTTATGATATGTTTAACCCCTCCCTTAAGCTCAGGCTGGTCATCTCCTACATCAGGGGTCTTCAAACTTGGCCTTTTTATGACTTGTAGACTTCAACTCCCAGAATTCCTCAGCCAGTGTGCTTGGCTGAGGAATTCTGGGAGTTGAAGTCCACAAGTCATAAAAGGGCCAAGTTTGAAGACCCCTGTCCTACATCATGTATCTTACAGTTGGTGATGAAAGTAAAGGAAATATTCAGTGACAATGATGTGGAACATTATCCTCTATAACTGTATTTAGTACTTTAGTTGATCATTGGTTGATAGAATATTTAACTGTTCTACATTTACAAACATATGAACAAGTGGTAATGCTATACGGGCCATAAAGTACCCATTCTGTGAATATTGTAACTTCAAACAGTTATAACACAGCCAGTCATTAAGCAAAGACTACCTGAAATGCCATTAATTGAGAAGTAAATACAGTGATTCATAAATACTGATACATAGCTAATTATAGCATCTCTATTTTGAGTCATTGAGTTGTGGTAGTGGGGATTAGAGAGACAGGTTTCAGTGATGGTTAGACTAGTGAAGAAAAGGACCAGGGGAGACATGATAGCAGTGTTCCAATATTTGAGCAGCTGTCACAAAGAGAAGAGGGTCAACCTATTTTCCAAAGTACTTGAAGGCCAGACAAGGAATAACAGATGGAAACTGATCAAGGAGAAATTCAACCTAGAAATAATGAGAAATTTTCTGAGAGTGAGAACAATCAATCAATGGAACAGTTTGCCTTCAGAAGTTGTGGGAACTTCATCACTGGAGGCTTTCAAGAAGAGACTGGACTGCCATCTGTCAGAAATGATGTAGAGTCTCCTGCTTGGGTGGGAGGTTGGACTAGATGACTTTCAATGTCCCTTCTAACTCTGTTATTCTGTTTTGTTCTGTTCTGTTTTGATTACAATCATTATTGTTCATAAAGTCATATTTAGAAATATATTTGGCTGAAATTCAATAATTAGTTGAAATACATAAATCTGAATGAACACTCCAATACTGATTAATTTCTGGCAATATAACATGAAGTAGAGGAATTCCATATTGTCTGGTAATTTTGCACTATGTCTGTCCTTTATACAGGTACAAGTGATAAGTTTTGCAACAGAGCATAACTGGGACTCTTTAGATTTTTATGATGGTGCTGATAACAATGCTCCAAGACTTGGAAGCTACTCAGGTGAATGGAAATAATAACTTCTTGTCTGATATTCTGTTTTGTGGCAAACTATCAACTTGTGTGCTAGGAATAAATGCCAAGTATAAAACATCTCACACTCATATAATATATGATGTTAAAATGCACCATTTTACAGAACAAGTTAGACAACTGTATATCTGATTCATGGTAGTTTCATTATCTAGTACTACCATAAATTTTTGACAGTACTGGAGCTGATTTTATTACCATCTGCCCCAACAGAATCTCTATATTACAGGAAACAAACAGAACATTAGCTGACATTCATGTAATATATTTTGAGTGCAAGGAAGTTTAAATTATATTAGCAATGAACTTTTTTTAAGTGGGTCTTAAGGATATTATGATACATAAGCTGAGTGGAAGTTGAATGTTATTACAAAAAGCCAAGGTTGGTTAAATATGGTACCTAACAACTTTCTTAATATGAAGCTTTTATATAACTTTGAGTCATTTAATCATCCCACTTTTCTTTCCCTTTCTTTTCAAATTAAGCCATGACCTTGCAGTTCCTCTGCTTTTGATTCTTCCTGTTTTTCTCCTAAGCATCATTATTTACTCTGTATGTAGGTGGAAGAAGAAAAGAAAAACAAAATAGAATAATAGTAATTTGCATGCTAGATCGGCTGTGACTTTTCCATAGAGCTTATGAACAGCTGAAGCAATCAACTTCTTCAGCTAGTTTAGGCACCTTTGTGCTATGCCAAAAATAAAAAAAAGCTATTTATGTTTTCCAAAAGTTTTAATGTGCTTATAAATTAAACATTTTTGGTACTCCAAGGCCCTTTCAACTTATGGAAAATCTATTGTTGTTTTGTTCAGCTTTCAACCCTCACTGCGAAAATATTTGTCATCATATCACTTTCTTCTGAATTGTTCTACTTTATTTTTAACTATTTTTTACTGTTCAGGAATGCTGACACCAAAAAGTTTCAGCATTGCCAACCAAAGTATTCACCAATAACAATGGATTTTCAATTTAGAGGACAATAATAAATTGCCTGGAGAGATCCCAACTTTCTGGTCCATCTACCCACTTCTGTACCTATTTATGGGGACCACAGTTCATAGCAGCAATTATGCCTGGAAGCCATATACCATTTGGTTTTTTTCTTTAATACTCCAGAATAATGCTGCAAGGAACAATTGAAATTGTAGCTAATTTAGGGGACCAAACAGGGAGACAGAACAAATAGCAAAACTGCTGACTTTATCAGAACTTATTATCATTTTTATTTTAAACATTAACTTATATAATTAACCTTTCTCTTGGTGCTATATATTTTAATTGTAGGTGTAAAGTATAGATCAGCTCTAGAGTACAAGTTTGATTTGTTTGTGAGTGTGTGTATAAATTAATTTGCACATGCAATGCAAATTGAGTATGTGTTTTCATGAACTTGGCATAATTAAAGTCTACAGCAAGGATCCAATAATATACAGACTGACTAATGGAGTAATAGTAGACAGATAGTAAGTAATAAGTGTCTGTTCAGTTGAAAGAACTGAAATTCTGTGTTAAGAACATGCTTCTTTATCCCTTGTGTAGAAGTAAGTTGAGTGTAGTTGGAACAAGGCATTTAAGAACTATGTGTGATAAATGAGAATGGATGAAATTGAATGGTTGCTGAACATTGGGAGATTGGCAGTTAAAAATGTGAAAAATACATATATACATGCATACATATATGCGTACATGAAAATAGGTTGCTTATAAAAGTCAATAACCAATATGAAAGAAACAAGTTGAGGATTTGATCACAGTTAGAGAATGAATGACGACTGAATTTCAAAGGATTGAATTGCAAAACAAATATATGAAAAAAAAATGTATCCAGAAGATGGGAAGACTGAGAAAGACGTAGGTAGATGGATTTGATAAGATCCTCATAGGTTTGGTGGAAACTAGTATAGTTTGAAAGATATAATGATATGGAGAGGAATTGTGAATGGCATTTATATAACTTAGTAGTTTTATTTCACTTTTTAATGCTTTTTATTTCTTTGATTTACTACTTCAAACTTGTTTTCTGAACCTTGCTTGAAAAGGAAGGAAAACTTTTCAGTCTCAGTTACCAAGAACCAAAGTTGCTGACTGGATCCTATAAGCAAAAACTGTCCATTAAGAGCACTCTTTTGAAATGGATGTAAATGGTAAACTGAGACATTGCTTATATTTATAGATAAAACTGTGAAATGTGGAAAGAAATAGAAAAAATAATTGCAGATTAATAACCTGGAAACTTCTTTTTCCCTCCCCAGGAACCACAATACCTCCACTTCTTAATAGTACGTCCAACAATTTGTACTTAAATTTTCAATCAGATATTAGTGTGTCGGCTGCTGGCTTTCATTTAGAATACACAGGTAATGTAATTGCAATATATATTGCCATTAGATAGACCTGAATGACTTCGAAAATGTAGACATTTACACTTCAAGAAATTAAATGTTGATTCTGTTGAAAGACTGGTATTGATAGGATCACAAGGTAGTGAATTGTCATACAATTATTCTTGCTTTAATTATGTATTGTTTTGTTATATATAAGCCATTAAATTCATGAAAGAAAGAGAGTAACAAAAGATAAATATTTCACCATTAACATCCTATTCCCTACAAAGAATCTCAGAGTCTGTTTTTATTATGATTGAGAAATCAGGATTTTGACTGATGAAGTATTCAGAAATGAAAGGGAGGGGGAAGGAAAAATAAACAGGTATTAAAAATATATGTGGAACATCAAGCACGTTTAGAGACAGATGGGGGGGGGAATGAATCATTCTGAGATAGAAAAGTAATTTGGCTTAATTTGTTTCTATTGATTCTTTGAAGAAGGAGGAAAGCTGCCAATTTTGAAAGTCCAAGATGACATATCTTTAGGCAAATTGTCCCAAATCTTATGCAAGGCTTAAATACATCTGCAACCATGAATCAACTTGTTATCCATGTGGGTAGTTAAGTTTGTCTGTCTCATGGTTTAGATTTTATGCTATTAAATCATATTGAGGAGAGGTCAGTGACTAAGACAATAAAGAAACAAAGAAAATACAGGACAGTAATAAATCGCCAAAGATTTATTTTTCATAACTCAGATCATTATATGATGCTAATTTATCATTAAGTATTTATTTGTCAAAAAATAGCAGTTCTTAGCATTCAACTGCTGCATCAAATATAAACTCACAGCTCTGCTTGGTTCCTATAGTGTCACTTGCATATTTGAGATCAAATCTGAGTCCCTCAATCATAAAAATAGCCATCATTTATCTGAAGAAGCCTGAGCAAATGCAGGCAGCTTTTTCTCCAGAATGTATGCTATTTTCTCACTGTTCCATGTAAATAGAAGAGCCTATATATCCAATAGGTATAAACAAAATCAGACATATAATCTTGAATTTTGGGACCATTTGTCTGGTCTCTAAGAATCCAAAAGCTCTTCAATCACAGTTCCATTTTGTAATATAACTAGATATTTTTAATTGTTAGATTTTTTAAAAAGAAGTAGGAATTCTGAGAGATGTATATTGTTATATCATCTTCCTGCATTGACATGCAATCCTATTCTTTTATTTTACATTTTACTTCCTTGCTGGCTTTTTTAAAAAAAATATTCAAGTAATTAGTTGTTTGAAAGCTGGAATGGTACTTTGAAATATCAGGAAGTTGTCACGATTATATTTAGATCTCAATATTTGATTCAGTCATTTCATATGGAATATATCTTGCAGTTGTCTAGCTCTGTTAACCATTCACTTACTCACCAATGATTTAAGTGACATGGAATAACTGGCAATATTAGTAAGTAGACAAGCCACAATTCATAATTTCTGCACACTTCATCTCTTTGTCAAACCTGCACACGATGAAAATGAAATGAAAAGAAGAGGATATAGATAACATAATTTCTAGTGTCAAGTAAAAGGATGAAATTGCATATTGCTCAAAACTCTTATCTCAAGCTCCAAAAAAGTCACACTAGATCAAGTTTGCTCTATATGCTGGGGGAAGGGATGATAATTCATACATGTTTGGGGGATTTTTCAACTCTTTATTTAAGAGATGGGGCAGAATCATGACCCATAATAGACCTCTATATTTTTTGCAACCCCCTTCATCTTTCTTTCTCTTCTTAGTTCTTTTGTTCATGTCTTCCCTTCTTATTTTCAATGCCAGATAGAGAAAATATTTCTATATGTATCTCATACAAACTTTTATTCATTTTTGTTGAAAGAAAATCTGTTTTTAAAATATTTTTCAAAATGGAAGAGAAGTTTGGTGAAGAACTTGATGGACAGCCTTACCTTATTTGTGACAGTATCTTGTATTTCACGTGACAATCATTTCTTTAGCAGTTTTTTTGGTGTCACACGCTTTATTTCAATCCCCAGGCAAATGATCAGAAGAGAAAAAAGGGATTTTCAGTAGCAGTACCGTTAGACCCAGGAAATAGGTGTTGTCTTTTGGAAAAACTATAGAGGAATGAATGTCTTTCCTGATAAAACTCAGTAAAATTCCTCAATTTATATGTTCCTCGATTTGATGAAAAATTATGAAAGGCCATTTGTGGTTAGACCTAGTTATCTTTTATTTTCTTTCTCTCTCATTTTCATATCCTCCATTGCAGATAAATGATAATTACAGGTAGTCTTTGACTTAGACCACAACGAGGATGTTCTAACGGTCATAAGGATGAAAAACAGTCATAAGACACTTTTTTTCAGTGCCATTGTAACTTCAAATGATCACTAAACAAATGGTTGTAAATCTTTGGCTACCTGTATTATGGTAATGTAGTGAAATCATTTTATAAAATTATCAATTTCATAAGCTAGAATCTACCTAAACCTTTAGACAATTAAACAGGGAGTTAAATTATAATGGGATACATATAATGATGACAATTATTGCTTTGTTCTCCAAAGTATGTGTTCCCGATTTTTATTTTATTTTATTATTTTATTTTATTAATTAAATTCATTTATACTCAAGCAAATGATCCAAATGTTTTTTTTTCAGAATTAATTCTAATAATCCAAGGTTATCTTTCTCTATAGGTTTGAGAGAAGGGGGACAATTATAAAACAACAAGCATATTCTTTCCCCCCTCAATTTACTCTCTCTCTCTTCTTTCTCTCTCCTCTCTTGTCTCTTCTCTCTCTCTGTGTCTCTTTGTGTGTGTGTAGAAACATTAATACAGTTAACAAATTAAAGTAGCAAGATTAACTGGATTCTTTATTGCGCGTACACTCAGTTTATTAAACAATGAATTATATATGAACTGTCAACATCAGTTTGAAAAACAAACTTGATGCTATACTTGAGCAATACAATTAATATCACTTATTAGAGAATTGTATGACAAATAGAGCTTATTCCCAACAGGACAACCCATCCATCTTTCTTTGTTGGAAAGATGAACAAATGTCTTTTCTGGTCCTAATGATAGGACTGCCTTTTTTTATGGCTATCAAAGGCAAGAATATCCATGCCTAGTATGACTGTCAATATATAGGCTATCTCTGAGTCTCAGAGTGCCCCTCTGTTGTTTCTGACATTAATTGTGGTCTTAGATTGAGGTCCTCAAGAGACCAGCTTTAAGCCTCCGGCCCAGTTATGGGAAAATGTTCAGATCTCTTTCAGCTTCATATGAGACAAACTGACAACAGCTCAGTATCTGATTTTTACTACAGTTACTCCAAAGCTTTTGAATCAGCTTTCTGTTGATATAGAAAAACTGTTTTTCTCTTCCAGCCTTTTGGAAAGGTTGTAAAATCTATTTATTTTGGAAAGCTTTTAGCTTCTGCGGCTACTTGTTGGCTGTTTAGTTTTATTTAGAAAAGCTTTCTTTTGTTCCCCATATTTAATACTTGATGTTCCATGCTCTCTTAGTGTATTTTAAATGTTTGTGTATTGTTCAGCTTACGTGCAGAGGACTTTGAACATGAGAATATAAAAATAGTTTGTGTAGCTCAATGAAAGGTTTGCCATGCAACATATGGATTTTTGAAATACATTTTAAAATCCAGGAAGTTTTATTTATCCTTCATTTTATCCTGTGAACAACCTTTGGCCAGCTGTCCTTCCTAGTAGCAATTGTTAAAAAAATATAATAAATGGATAGAAGCAACATTTTATAACCTTCTTTCTCAGACAAATCCTGGATGGGCTGTAGGCTTGGTCTCCAAGCTTGGTGATTTGGCTGCAAAGCTCGGAGATCAAATCTACAGCCCCATTACCAACCCGAGCTACTAATATTCAAACACATCTCAAATCATGGATTTTTACCTGTGCATCAGCTTTCATTATCACTACACCTGTTGTAGATCATCCTGCATAATGAATTCCTGATATGTATAGCCCCAATTTATTACTATGGATGGACTTACATTTGTATTTTTTCTCCCCAACACTTCCATTGTTGCACATGGTGAGTTCCTGCTCAGGGCATCATTTCATCTCCTCCCCAGCAAGTATTAAATTTAAAGATTAGAACATTTCATACATTGTCATAGACTAGACCCGCCAGCATTTATTTGTTCACTTTATATAAAGAAGAGCAGACCACAGAAGATGGACAAGGAAGAAGACTATTTTTTTCTTTTGTAGCCAAAGTACAGTTGAAATACAAATGCCTGAATTGTGATCATGGGGATAATACAATGGTCATACGTGGGAGTGCAGGTCGTAAGTCACCTTTTTCAAGATGTTGTAATTTTGTACTGCTGTTAAGCAAATGGTCATAAGTCAAGGACTATCTGTACTTTGCTTTCATACTGCTCTGTTATAATTTGCTTTTTCTCTTGAAAATCCTAATCTGTACTTAGGTACAGATGATAATTAGTCTTCTTCTTTGTCCATTGTTCTACATTTAGCCTTTTTCCCTTTCCCAAGACAGTATCATGCACTTGGCTTCTGTTGATGGATTTTGAAGTCTCTGAAAGAGAAAGGAATCCAATATGCTTGTATTTTGTTAAGTCTGAAAATGGTCTCTCAAACCTTTACAGTAAGAAGACTTGTGAAACTTCTAGAACAGGGGTGTCAAACTGCAATGCGCAAAAAGTCACGATATGTCACATGATGTGGTGAGTTTGACCCCCGTGTTCTAGAAGGTAGACAGTTTTCAGTAATGCTATATTATTGTCTTACTGATTCAATTCTCCCTCAGTATGGGGACTTTGTTAATGTTCTGCTTTTAGGTCAGAATCTGCATAACAAAGGATAAATTTATTTTGTCATTGTTAAGTTTTTTAACTTTCCACAGCTATAGGTTTGGACTCCTGCCCTGAACCTCAGATCCCAAATAGTGGAATTAAGATTGGAGACAGGTACATGGTGGGAGATGTCGTTTCCTTCCAGTGTGACCAAGGATATTCTCTCCAGGTAGATTTTTTTTTTTCAAATTCAGGTGTATTATTAATTTCTAACTAAGATATTATTGTTTCTGTAATCTAGCCAGAAAGTAAAAACATTATTGTCCTGAATCTTTGGGATTTTCAATAGTAATTCAGGAAAAGAAACATGGATGAATATAGTGTGTAAATTATAGGTGCAGAAGGAAGATAAATTAGGGTCTACTAAAATTGTTTTATGTTTATTGAGTTTTTTCAATATTCTTTCTTCCATTTCTATCTACAATCTGTCTGTCTGTTTGTCTGTCCGTCCGTCCATCCATCCATCCATCCATCCATCCATCCATCCATCCATCCATCCATCCATCTATCTATCTATCTATCTATCTATCTATCTATCTATCTATCTATCTATCTATCTATCATCTATTTCAAAACATTACTCTTTTTCACAAAGATATCAGCATGTCCACAGTATTCACCAAGAATCTGATATTACTTGTTGGAGCCTTTAAATCATCATTAGTTCTATGTCTGTTTGTGTATGTTTTTGTTTTGTTTTGTTTTAATGAAGATCATTGCATGATTGTTGTTTCCAGATCCCTAAATGAAAATGTAGTTTGGAATGTGAAGGTCACGCTTTACATGATTCAGAGAAGAACATCTGATCTGTTGCCCATACGATAGATAAGAAAACATTAGCTATTATATCCACATGATTATGCTACATATTCCGTCAATTCTGCACCATCACTGGCCTGTGTTCTTTGCCAGTTGGCATATATGTTAAAATTCAGTAAAGCAACATTGTCTATGTAATCAGCTCCCTAGCTAACAGGGCCAGAGTTTGGAAGCATATGAGGCATCCAATGGAGGTTTTTGTGCCAATGACTTGCTGAGGTTGCTGTAGCCAAACCAGACCATAATTGGCCATGCTAATGAGACCTTGTCAGACAGTTTGGCTCCCAGGTTTACATCTCAGGATGCAAATTGTGATACCATTTTATTGTTATGCATAATAAAGTGCAGCACAGAATTGACTGTTAATTTGATAATTTTAAAATGTTTTGTCATTTTACAGGGACATTCACATATCACCTGCATGCCTGGACCAGTGAGAAGATGGAATTATCCTATTCCAATTTGCTTAGGTATATCTTCCATATATAAAATAAAAAAAGGATATGGGACAACTAAGCATGTGTTAGAGATTTATTTGTGAGTTTTATGGTGTCTTGATGGAGGGATGGAGGAAGTTCCATGATGTGAACAGAACACATTGCATTTTAAAAAATGCTCAAATAGTTATATTTTTTTCCAAAGATAAATAAAAACATTGTTGTGACTCAAGTTTGATATATTATGAAATACAAAAGAAGTCTATAACATAATAAAGAGTAAGGAGTGCCCTGTTCAATATTTCAATGACTTTCCCTGTTATGCTATTTCATTTTCTATTCCCTACCCTACTTCAACCTTTTCTACCTATGTAACGCTTGCTCAGAAGAAGCTAAAATTGGATCAAAAGAATAAGGAGCTATAGATGCTTCTGTCCTCGGACACTTGCATAAACTGGGTTAATGCAAATAATTGCCTAACAGAAAAATCCCATTCTTTTGAGTGTATTTCTTTAAAACAGTCTTCTAAAACTTGGCCATTTTGAAATGTGTGGACTTCAACTACAAGAATTCCCAGCCAGTACTCTCAGAATTCTGGAAGCTGATGTCTACACATCTGAAAATGGCTAAGGTTGAGAAACACTGCCTAAGAAACTAAGAAAAGAGAACATGGTTTAAATGAGCTTTTCCCTCCCCTCTCATTTGTAGCACAATGTGGTGGTTCTATGTCAGACTTCAGTGGTGTGATCCTTAGCCCAGGATTTCCCGGGAATTATCCTAGTAGTTTGGATTGTACATGGACCATCAAGCTGCCTGTTGGGTTTGGTATGTCTTATTCCATTTACTACCATTTAGCAGAAGTGAAGCCCTACTAAATATGATCCTCATTTAAAACTAGCCATAGCAAGAATACTTTATTCACCAAATTAGTTTTTCTCACTGTCCATGGTTGAAAATGAATTTATGCTGAAATCGTTTGGAGCATCCAGCTTTATGTTTTGTGTGTTCATTTGAAGGAGTTTTTTAGGGCTTCAGAGCAATCTTCTCTTAACAGTCAGGTGTATCAGAAACTGGAATATTTTGAATATAAGAACATTAGAAAAACCCTACTGTATTAATCCGAAGGCATATCTACTATTATTTGACATACAATGGACAACTTAGATCAGTTTCCTTAGCTAGTTTAAGATGTGTGGACTTCAACTCCTAGAATTCCCCAGCCAGAGAGCTACACATGCATTTGGGGCTTATTGAGCTACTGGTGTTGGCAGTGGCAATGGCAGTGGCAAGGTGTGTGGACAATTTGTGTTCTTTCCAAGTAAGATACATTTGGTTAGTAAAGCTTTTCTGAAGGTACAAAGCTCCAAGAAAATGAAACATTGCTTATGGCACTGTTTCATATTAGAGAATTTTTGTTTTGTTTTGTTTTAATTTGAAGTATTTATGCTTATTTTGATATATTTATGGTGCATGCCAAGCACCCCACAGTTCAACCCTGAGCTACAAATATTCTCTTCTAATGTTGAAAACAAATAGATGTTTGGTTTGGCAGTTTAGTCTAATAAACTGGATTATAGTATTAATATTACAATGTTTAGATTTTATCCTGTTGATTTTTTAAAACAATATTTTCAGGAGTGCATTTGCAATTTGTGAACTTTTCAACGGAGACAATCCATGATTACCTGGAAGTTAGAAGTGGATCACCTGATGTTAGCACTGCCATTGGTAGACTCAGCGGTCCTCAGCTACCTTCTTCCCTTTTCAGTACAACACATGAAACTAGCTTATATTTTCACAGTGATTATTCTCAGAACAAACAAGGATTTCATATTGTGTATCAAGGTGTGTGATGACCTCTACTTTTTTGTTATAAATGTTATAATGTTATAAAACAAGACGCATTACTAAAAATGGCAAAATTATGTTGTAGAAATATAAAGAATGGCCTGTTTTAGTTTGCTTTGCAATGATTTCATTTAAGGAATCATAGGATAAACCAGGGTGGAATAAAATAGACCATTAAGTCCATTACCCCAAATTATAGCATTATCAAGAGATTGCAGTCTCATTTGTGCTTGGAGTGATCTACAATGTTACTTACTAATTATTTCTCATGGTAATTAGATCCACTATTTATGTTTGGGAGCATATAATTACAAAAAGACAGAAAACTATGCAATGGTATGGTTGAAATAGTCAAAAAACCCTTTCCACTCAAAGAAGGAGTTTCTTTGAAACCTACACCCTTTCTGAGTTTGTTTTTCTTAAAGGTTGGCAGTTCTCATAATACACTAGGAAAATAGATGATTTCAGTAGGTGAGGTTAAATAGGATTTCTCTCATAAATAAGTTGTCAGGTAGTGTGCATTCCATTGAATTTAATTCACTATTAATATATAAGCCCCAAAAGCTTTTTAAACAATGCATAGTTGTTGAACAGGGAGTGTCAAGAGGGATACACAACATTTATTTATCATTTCTTTTGTCAGTTTACATAAAATAACAATCGAATAAGTTAAAACATCTACTGATAAAATTAAAAACTATTGGAAATATTGCAGTATTACAATATCATGTGATTTATATCCTTGCATTCAACAATGGGACCAAAAAATGAAAACATATATATTTATATTTGTTTTCTGAGGTTTTCGCGGGTATTTGTATGTAGGTCTTTGGTTGTTCGGGTTTTCTCCCACGTAAAATTGGAAGTGTCTTGGCGACGTTTCGACGAAGTCTCATTCGTCATCTTCAGGCTGGTGCTTTCAGCTTCGTGCTTTGAGCAGCAATGTGTGGTCTTAGCTGTTTATTCCTTTTAACTGCCAGTGGGGGTATGAACTGATTGGGTGGGAGCTTGGCTGTGTTCTGATTGGGTGGAGGTGTGTTCTGAATGGTTAGGGGCTTGGCTGTGCTCTGATTGGCTGGGGGAGTGTTCTGTTTGGTTGTGCTCAGGTTAGTCTGAGTTGCAGAGGGGTTTAAGATTTTGGGCTGCCTTGCTATTTTCTGGCTTCGCGTTCGTGGTCGTGTCTCCTCTTCATGGAGGGTGTCAGTTTGCTTCATGTATGGATTGGAGGGGTTTAAAGTGGCTAATGATGCAGCTGTGGTCTGGCTTCTGGTTTGTGGTCGTGCCTCGTCATCGGTGTGGCTTTGGGTTTGTTTTTTGCGTGGATGTGTGGTGGTGACCTCCTGTGTGGTTTTTGTGAGTGTGGGTCTGGTATCATTTTTTGTGTTAGGGAGTCGTTTGTCAATAAGGGCGGGTTTCCAAATGGCTGGTAGGCGGGAGGTATCATCTCGCTTGTTCATGCTGTGTGGGCGTTTTTCTATCTCGATGGCTTCTCTGATTATTCTGTTATTAAAATGTTCACTTTTGGCAATGGTTCTGGTATTTTTAAAGTCAATTTCATGTCCTGTAGCTTTAAGGTGTTGGACCAGGGAAGATGTTGGTTCCTCTTTTTTGATTGAGTTCTTATGTTCTTCAATGCGTGCACTTATTCTTCTGTTGGTTTGTCCGATGTATGTGGTGGGACAAGTGGTGCATGGGATTTCGTATACTCCTTGATTTTCTAATTCAATTTTATCTTTGGGGTTTCTAAGGATGGTGGATATTTTTCTGTTTGTGCAGAATGCTGTTTTGATGTTGTGTTTATGGAGGATCTTACTGATTCTGTCTGTGGTGCCTTTTATGTATGGGAGGATGGCTTTGCCGTTTTCTTGTTCTTTGTCTTGGATTTTAGTGGGGGTTTCTTTTTGGATTAGGTTTGTAATCTTATTTCTATGGAATCCATTGGATGTTAGTACATTGGTGAGAGTGTGTAGTTCGGGTTTAGGTGTTGTTCGTCAGCTAAGCGTTTTGTTCTGGAGATGAGTGTCTTGGCTACAGAGTTGATCTGTGCTGGGTGGTGGTGTGAGAGAGCGTGCAGATAGCGGTTTGTGTGTGTTTTCTTCTGGTAGATGGTGTGTCCTAGGGAGCCATTGGATTTCTTGTAGACTAAGACATCCAGGAAGGGAAGTTGGTTGTTGGTTTCTGTTTCCATGGTGAACTGTATTTTGGGGTGTAGGCTGTTGAGGTGTGTGAGGAAGTTGTCCAGTTTTTCTTTCCCATGTGGCCAGATTATGAAGGTGTCGTCTACATATCTGAGCCAGAGTTTGGGTTTGTGATCCGATTTTTCTAGAGCTTGGGTTTCAAAGTGTTCCATGTAGAGGTTGGCAATGACAGGTGAGAGGGGTGATCCCATGGGTGCTCCTTCTGTTTGTTTGTATTTTTGTCCATTATAGATGAAGTATGTGTTGGATAGGCAGTGGTTGGTCAGATCTAAGATGTGTTTGGGGGGGTTATATTTGTTTTGAATAGCTGTCAAGGCTTCTTTGATAGGCACTTGGGTGAAGAGGGATATGACATCGAAGCTCACTAGTAGGTCGCTGGGCTGTAAGTTTTGTTTCTTTATGATCTCTATAAACTGGAATGAGTTTTTTACGTGTGAGGTGATGGATTCTGCATAGGGCTGTAGTTGTTTGGCGAGAAATTTGGCTAGGTTTTGTAGAGGTGAGCCTATGGAGCTGACTATAGGTCTGAGTGGGGTTCCTTCTTTGTGTATCTTGGGGAGACCATAGAGTTTGGGGCATCTGGATGATTTCTCTCTGGGAATGATTCTTTGCTGGATCTCTTCGCTAATGGGGGAGGCTTTTATTTTGGATCTGGTGGTTTTTTCCAGGTAGGTGGTGGGATCTGTATTTAGGGGTTTGTATGTGGAGTCTTGGAGTAGGTTGGTTAATTTGGTTTGGTAGCCTGAAGATGACGAATGGGACTTCGTCGAAACGTCGCCAAGACACTTCCAATTTTACGCGGGAGAAAACCCGAACAACCAAAGACTTACATACAAATACCCTCAGAAAATATATACACATATATACATATAGATATATAGATATACATATTTACATGATGATTTTGAAAGTAGAAGCAGTCTTAGAAAAGAATCCAAAGTGTTACCAGGAATTCAAACCAAACAAATGTCAAAGCCTTCATTAAATGTGAATGATTTTTTTTAAAGATAAAAATACCTTGGAGTTAAAATTGACTGTATGGACAACCATGCCATTTTCTTTATAATATGGCCAAAATGGTTTGACAGTTTTATTCTCTGAATGCTTTCAACTTCTCATCTTGTGCATAACTCTCTTATTCCTTGCTGCTTTCCTCGCTAAAATATTAACCAGGTTTAATGCTGCATAACTTCAAGCTGCAACAAGGTCAGCCAGGTGCTTCCAGATGCTGAGACTGAAAAAAGGAGAAGAACCAATACATTTATTTTAGACAGTATTATATAGTATAGAATATTCCCTGCAGGGGCTAGATCTGATCTCACCTTGAGAAAAAGCCCAGCCATCGGTAGCGAAAAACATAGATTAAGTAAGATCTCTTCGATTCCATGATATCATTCAAATGTTTAAAAAACAGTATGAAGAGTTGAGATTAGGAATATACTGTGGTTATACTGTGTGAGTTCTGTGTTCATGTGTTAGAAAGAGAAGCACACAGAGGTAGGGGTGCTTAAAATTATTGCCCAAGAAATACCTTTAATGTCTGTGGTACACTGACATTTTTTTTCAGCGTATCAGTTACAAAGTTGTCCTGATCCACGTCCCTTCCGAAATGGATTTGTTATTGGAACTGACTTTACTGTAGGACAGACTGTTTCATTTGAGTGTTTTCTTGGATACACTTTAATTGGAAATTCAGCCCTTACTTGCCTTCATGGAATCAGTCGTAACTGGAACCATCCTCTTCCAAGGTGTGAAGGTATGTTTTCGATATAGATAGATAGATAGATAGATAGATAGATAGATAGATAGATAGATAGATAGATAGATAGATAGATAGACAGACAGACAGACAGACAGACAGACAGACAGACAGACAGACAGACAGACAGATAATATTTTAAAAGATTAGTATAGTCAACAGATTGAAAGCAGGATAGGGATCTATACAATAGTTAGACTATTGAGTAACAGAATGATAGCCATGGAAATGTGAAGAAAATTGCTTAAGGGAAACAGCAAGCATTTCAAAATCTGGTCTTTTTATGTTACATTTTGTTATGTGCTATAAGCCAAGTACATATAAACTGTAGCAATTTTAGTCAAACTGAAGTTGGCATCAGAAGCAAATTTATGAATTCTAACTTTATTATATTGCATGTAAAAAGGGGTAAGATCTCATCTCCATCCTATCTTAGCTCTGGTTTCAATGTGGTTTTAAAATCTTAACCTATGGTCTTTTAATGTTTTAATATTTTAATTGTTTTAACTTGTTTTGTAACTTATAAGCCACCGAGAGTCACCTTATAAGGGAGATGGACAACATAAAAATTAATTAAATGTGCTGCTAGTACTTATCATTTTGCAGAAAGTTTTTTTTTTCTTTCCACTTTTTGGTTTAAATGTCAAACGTCAAAATGGTTTAATAATAAGAATGAATTATATATAAGATATACCACTAAAAGAACATTGATTTATCGAGCATTGGGTACAGCTAAAAAAATTACTCTTCAAAGTTGAAACAACTTTGTGGCTCTAGAATTGCAACTTTCAATTGATGATACATGTTCTGTTTCCCTTGATGAACAATTTCTGATATTCTTCATGTTGAAAATTTTTTAGTGTAATGAACTTTTTAATATTTTATGAAGTTAAGATATAATTGTACCTTTTAAAAAAACAGGGTTTCTAAAAATCCATAATATGTCAGTTTTGTTTTGTTTTGTTTTCGGGGGGCTGTCTGTTTTGGGGTCATTTGTGATTTGGGTTTGTTCTTTTTATACTAAAGCAATAAAATATATTTTTCAATTATTTCAATTATTAACTTTCTTCCTTCTTTCCCTCCCCTTCCTTCCAGCTCTTTGTGGGGGAAACATAACTGCTATGAATGGTACAATATATTCACCTGGCTACCCTGATGAATATCCAAATTTTCAAGACTGCTTTTGGCTAGTAAGAGTACCACCAGGAAATGGCATTTATATCAATTTTACTGTTCTTCAGACAGAACCAATATATGATTTTATAACAGTCTGGTAAGCAAAAATTATCATAATTTCTTTATTATGCAATGAAGTCATGCATAAGAACAAGCAAAATTACTAGATACAAATTACTGTTTGGATTGATTTAATAGCTCAGATGTTTGATGATTTAAATATTGGTTTATTATTCTAGTGTTCTATAAGAATGTTGTCCCAACTAGTTAGGTTTACAGTTAAGATCTGCTGCAATGTCTTCGAAAAATTTATCTCTGGGATTACATATTTATAAAACTTACATTATGAATTCTGTAAATTTATGTTCAAAAGACCAAACCTATTAATATGATCATGGAACATAATTTACTTGTTTGTGATAAAACACATTTAGGGTTGATACGTCACTGACATATATTTGTTTCTCTGAATTATTGGAGTTCTTTTTCTGCTGTGTAAATGAGTTTAAAATATAACATGCCAAATGTTTCCTTATTTCAAATATATGAAATAAGAATAGTCCAGACATTATCTATCTATCTATCTACCTATCTACCTATCTATCATGATTTTTTAATAATTGGAATATTAACATCTAGTTATTTAATGTGAAGGTTCTGATTTTCTATTTTTCCTAATTCTATTAGATTTTGCAATGCAGCTTTATTATTAAAACCCATACAAAATATTTATTTTAAATGTTAAACAAATATTTACACAATGATTACTAAACTAAAAAAACACAGAACAAACTTGTGTTCGTAAATATGTTAATACTGAAAAAAAAACAAGTAGGATTTATGTAAATTAACGGGCATAACCAATTTCTGAAGTTCAATAAAACATATTCAAATTGCCATTGGTTTAGATGGCTTTGAAAAGATAGCCGGATTAATGATAGATGTCTTTGAACAGCTTCTTCTGGAAGCTTCCATAATTATTTGACTGTCCACTGGGAAAACTAATACTAGTGTTGCCACCCAACCCATTTTATTTCATATATTTTTTTTTTATTTGAAACCAATTGTCCCAGGAGTATTTAAGGCAAAATAATGTTTGTTTTCATATTTTTAAAAGCCCATTTGAAAAGAGAGGCTAGGATAGGGGAGGAGAGGAGAGAAGACTAGATTAGCTGCATCTGCTTTTTTTTTCCCCATATCAAACAAGTAGTAACTGATGAAAGCCTTTGTCCTTTATTCTATTTTTAAGGAAATTGATTCAGCAAAGGAAAAGAACTTTCCAAGCATAAACAGATAAACTTTATATGCATTACTAAATTGATAAAAATTGCAATATATTATAGATTCATAATTATAAAATACATATTATTTTTATTAAAAAAATTAACGTGTATTTCAGTGCATTCCATCTTCACATAAAAAAGTGTCTAGCAACTATATAAACATAATTTTCAGAATTTTAAACATCTATAATATATTAGAAAGAACTTCATGAATTCTAGTATGTGCTATATGTGTGTGGGGGGTGTGTGTGTGTGTAAAATACCATGTATCATATCACATAATGGAAAAGAGTATGAAAAGTTCAAACTACTATAAATCTCACATTTGAAACAAGGGGAAAATATTATATTTACCATCCTAGAGACTTCCAGATACAGTAGCCAGAGCAAAATTACAAGTTCCATTGTAATGAAAAAGAAAAGTAAAGTAAAGGCAAACAGATGCTGTCTATGAATTTAGTCTCTTCTGAATTAGTAGATAGAATTACTTATTTTCTTGCTTTCATTTTACTTATGATGTGCCTTGAATGTTTACTTAAAGCAAATGGAAATTTATTTAACTGTGAGATTTGTCTTTCTTTCTTTCTTTCTTTCTTTCTTTCTTTCTTTCTTTCTTTCTTTCTTTCTCTTTCTCTTTCTCTTTCTCTTTCTCTTTCTCTTTCTTCTAGGGATGGACCTGAGCAAAATTCACCTCAAATTGGTCAATTTAGTGGCAACACTGCATTGGAATCTGTTTACAGCACCTCAAATCAGGTTTTAATAAAGTTCCACAGTGATTTTACAACAAGCGGCTTCTTCGTCCTTAGTTACCATGGTTAGTGTCACACACCTAAAGGATGTGTGTGCATGTGTATTCTTTTCTTTTTTAAAATAATAAACACAAAGGACGTATTCCTAGTTAGAATGGTAAATGATTTCTGCTTGGTAGTAATAATTGCATGACAGTAAACATGAGGATTTATAAGAAGGCCAAGAGGTAGAATGAGAATCCAATTACAGAGCAGGGCAAACTTTGTACCTGAAATAATCCATTGGCACTGAGAAAATCCCCATCAATCAATTGTAAAAGGCAGCTTTGCTTGGAATAGCTTAGGTTTTGTGATGATACCTTTAACACCATCAAACAGCAACATCTCCCTATATCAGGTCCTTGGGAAGGACTCAGTAGGTGGATAAAAATGCCAAATCCAGTCTAAGCATGTGGAATGAACCATAATAATGATAAATTGATTTCTATAACACACATTAAGAGTGGAAGGAAGCAAGGGGAAGGAGGACAATACTTTGAAGGTCATCTTATTCCATCTTTTGTTCATTACAAAATATATAATATAGTATTTTTTTTTATAAAAAAAACACTGAGCTTTTTAATAAATAATTGATGGTATAATATGGAATGCAATACAGAGGTCCAAGATTGATGTAGCCTTTAAGCAGCACATATTTGGAACATATATTTGTTCAGACTAACAGTTATGAATCTAATTAACGGGACTGCTATCTAGCACATATTTTACTAATATATGTTAAATATACCAACAAGCATCATACATGTTATGAAATAGATGTTTATGTTCCCTATGAAACCGTAAAACCGTATAAATCTAATAATTTGTCATAAGACTTCTGTACAGTGTTAGATGCAAGCTAACTTCCCTGTAATTTCTTATATCTATTTTTTTTTCACTTTCAATGTGCTTATTGTTATAATATAAAGTGGAACGGTGTGTTAATTGGAATGTTTCTGCTGCTTTCATAGCATACCAACTTCGAGTGTGTCAGCCTCCACCTAGTATACCAAATGCTGATGTTTTGACTGAAGATGATGAATTTGAAATAGGTAAAGTTAATATTAATGTAGACAACATCGGTTTAATTCCCAAAATTACCATATTTAACATATGTGTCTGTATATATATGGAAGTTCCTACATTTAGTTTTTCTATGATACGTGCAAATAAATGACGTGTATATGGCTATATCTAAGTGAGGAAAATAGGATCTCCTATAATTACAAGGATTCATTTTTATTTAACAACATTTATTAGTAAAGTCATAAACATTAAGTTAATTTAACTGTCTATATGTTTTGGATTTATTTTCATTGGATTTATTTTCATGGGATTTAAGCATTCCTAAATGCAGCATCATTAGGAAATGTTTAAAAATTTGACAAATTGTGTCCTAATATGTTACCAGTGATGCATGATGCATATCTATGCATAAGATGGAGACAATATGCTTGTTGTAACAGTGTATTTGTTATGTCCAAAATCTACAAAAATGTATGTAAAAATTATAATGTACAACTACAGATGACATCTTACATATAATCAGTGATACCCAATTATATGGAAGGTATGTTTGTCAATTTTGACAAAATTGGGACACAGAATAAATTTAAGTGGATAGACTAGACTAAAAACCAAGTAAGCATACAATGGACTGGATGGCTAAAGTGGAAGAAGGAAAGGGAATAATAAAAAAAAAGCTAGCAGAAAGATCTGTTTTTGGTCATCTTAGCTTTTAAATTATGGATACTAAATATACATTTTTTGTGTGTTTGTGTGTCTATATATACGTGCCCAGGTCTAAACTAAATGCAAATTTATTTTAGACTATCTCTAGGTAGCTCCACTGATTCTTAATCTATCCTAGTAATAACTTTTCCCAGGCAGTATGAATTGATGCTTTTGCTGTTGTCGCTAAAACAATCATCTGCTTCCAGCATCTTCCGGTATCACTGCTTTCCAGTATAGGTGTTATCTTGCTTTAACTGAAAGCTGGGATGATGACCTTCAAACTTTAGTTGACTCTGTTGTGAATATATACTCTTGACATACTCACCCAATGTTCTTTGCTCTTCCACCCCAGAGATAGCCCCACTACCAACACCATAATGAGGCAGCATAAAAAATTGTCTCTGTGTGTGTATGTCATGAAAGATAACCACATAGATATTCAAAATGTTAAGATGACAGATGATAGATAGATAGATAGATAGATAGATAGATAGATAGATAGATAGATAGATAGATAGATAGATAGATAGACGGGCGGACAGACAGACAGACAGATGTAATCATTGACTTACAACCCTGACTTACAATTCTAAGCCCAGAATTTCTGTTGCTAAGTAAGACAGATGTTAAGTGAGTTTTGCCCCATTTTACAATCTTTTTTTGCTGCAGTTGTTAAGTGAATCACTGCAGTTATTAAATTAGGAACACGGTTGCCAAGTGAATCCAGCTTCCCCACTGACTTATCAGAAGGTAGAAAAAGGTGATCATATAACACTTGGACACTGCAACCTTCATAAATACAGGCCATTTGCCAAGCATCTGAATTTTGATCATGTGACCATGGGGATGCAAGAAAGGTCATAAATGTGACAATAGGGTAGATTTGATTTAAATCAAGTCAATTTAAATCACGATTTAAATCACTAGTAAAAAGGCTTGATTTAAATCAACTCAGTTTAATTTTTAAAGAGTAACTGCCATCTCAGTCCCATAGCGGCTCCTGCTCTGATCCGCTGTTGACTCACCGACAGTCCCATTCACTTTAATGGGATGGCTGGTGATGCAGCAATGACACAACAAGGTGAGGGACTTGGTGGGCAGCAGGTGAATGGGTGCCCTTTAACAGGTGCTACCATGATGGAGCTGAAATGACAGGTGCTCTTTAAATGTAAGGACTCATTCTTGCTAGTAGTTAGAATATTTAACATTATTATTTGCAAACAAAATGAAGGTTTCCTATTTAGAATAATAAGCTGTCAGGTTAGTAAAACAGCAATATCAGAACCGATTTTAGGTTAATAGGTTAACCTGGTACAGATGCATTTCGCTTCAAACAATCATCAGTTTATAGTATACATAGATTTGCAAAACAATGAGATAAAGGAATCTTCCTGAACTTTGTTTTATGATTTATCTCATGGTTACTGTGAAACTGTGTGAATGCATCAATGTAGTCAGCTTGCAGAGCTTGGATTCATTGAATGACTTTATCAAAAATATAAATATTGCAGAATATACAGCTTCATGCTATGTAACTAAGCTCCATTTCATGCTGAATAAACTAAATTATTAATGTATCTTAAATAGAAAACTATATTTAGATAGATTTTACTCTAAAAGCATTTTATTAAAATAAATTTGATAAAAATCAGAAAAATCTGATTTAAATCACAAAAATCCATTTTTTATTTTTTTTTAAATCATCAATTATTATTCACCCTGTATGAAAAACAATCATGTCACTTTTTTCAGTCCCATTGTAATTTCAAACGGTTGTAAATTAATGGTTGTAATTCAAGAACAATGATAGAAAGCTAGATGGATGAATAGATAGTTAGATAGATAGATAGATAGATAGATAGATAGATAGATAGATAGATAGATAGATAGATAGATAGATAGATGGATGGATGGATGGATGGATGGATGGATGGATGGATGGATGGATGGGAAAGAAAGACAATCATATTTTTCTTTCCCCAAATCAAGGGTGCTTAATACTTAAATTGGTTGTAGGAAAAAACTGTATTTTCTACTTTTAAATTGCTCACACACCTTGAAGTAATTTCAGCTATTCAGAGCTAATTTTATCAGTAACAAAACTCCAAGACATCCTATTCTGAAATTCCCCAGACATTCCAGCTATATCCAAAGAGCCCTTTTCTATTTTTACCATAGCTGTACTTTATATCTATATGGTCCCACTGAGATATTTCAGTTGACTGCTGTTGTAAAACCTTTTGCACTCTGTGGCACTCTTCATCTGACCAACAGGGTTTGGCTATAATACTAGACAGCAAGATGTACAGATGGAGGAGACAGACATATACAGCCAGAGGCAATTTGATGTCTATTACTTGGCTAAATGCTCAAGACTATTTTCCTTAAAATCAGTTTGCTTGTTCGATCAGATGTTCACTTGCTGTAAAGGAAATGAATCTGCTGCTTATCTGTACAGCCATTTCAGACTGTTCTTTTTAAAGGCATTGAAGCTAAAGTAGAATAAATAGGGAAATATTCAAATGTGTGGAAAATAGAATATTGCTAAATACTGCCAAGTACCACAGCTCTGCAAAGAACTAAAACAAGGTTGCTATTTTTTTTCATATGATAGGTGAAACAGCTTCCCTAGAAGCATGAACTCTGGAACATTTAAATGCTTGAGTAAATTCCTCAAAAAACATTTCCTTGATTCTCTGTGCATGCTTTTGTATGCACAGAGAACATTTCTGTTCAAAGCAAGGAAGCAAAGGTGCTATGCAAGCACAGTTGTGCAGAGCATTCATAGATTTCCAGAGGATGTGCTGCTTAAATGCCTTAAAGAGGAATGTTTCACTCAATAACATGTTCTACTATAAGTGCCTTTCTAATGCATTGCATTATCCTATCAATTCATGCATAGTAATTAGCAATAACTTCTATATAACTAACTTCATGTATTTAGTTCCTTCAGTTTCAATTATAAAATTCATTTATTAACATATATAAAATATATTGAAAGACGAGAGAGAGAGAGAGAAAGAGAGAGAGAGAGAGAGAGAGAGAGAGAGAGAGAGAGAGATAGGACAGAGAGACAGTTTGATTGATTGATTGATTCTAGAGAAAGTTACTGTACTTAGAAATGTTCAAAGTTCAAGTGTCAAATGAATAAGGAAATATCTAGAAAAAATAATCACCAACTAAGAAATATAATGTAATAAATTACCTTTGGAGCCTGACTTTTGGTAATCTACTTATCTAACAGATTGTCATGGGGGGGGAACTATATATGTGGTTATGAAAAGTCAACACCAACCTGATAGCTATTATATATAATAGCTGAAACTGGCAATAGAAATAAGAGAACTAGATGCCCTTTTTTAATTACTGAAATAACTACAACAAAATATAAAGCTTTTCAACTCCACAAAGTCACACTCATGTAAATGTGTGAGTCACGCTAATAGCATAGCTGGCATGAAATGACAAATTAGGTAGCTTATTTGCCACATCATTTCCTCTGTCTAATGGAACCTATTTGTGCTAGTGGTCATTTTCACATTATATATGGTGAGAAACATGCTTCGTTAATCAATGGTATTGTCAACACTGAAGAGTCCTCATTAATTGGTCTTTAACTACAGTCTTTTCTCTTTTCCTCTTTTTTATTACACAGGGGACATAATAAGGTACCAGTGTATACCAGGTTTTACATTAGTTGGTAATGAGATTCTGACATGTCGACTAGGAGAGAGATTGCAGATGGATGGCACACCACCTTCTTGCCAAGGTTTTAAACTCTTTTTTTTAAAAAAATAGAAGTCTGTTTTAGTATATATTTGCTTACTTTGATGTCTTGCATGAACTATTTAGTTAGCATCAATAAATAACCAGGGTGAGTCATATATATATATATATATATATATATATATATATATATATATATATATATATTGGGAATACTAAGTTTGATTTGAAGTTGAGGAATATCCAGAGAGCAAATGTGAACCATTCCTGAAAGCATTTATTCAGAAGTGTTTTATGTGCATTGTCTTTTTATTTCCTTTCCTTTCTCTTACCCTGTGCTATGGGTAAGGGAACACGAGTGGTATTGCAGCCATGGTCTTCTCAATCATAATATACAGCTGTTAAAACTGGACCATTAGAAACAGTGAATGATGAAAATGATAAAATTGTGTTTCTGGAGAGAATTGTTGAACATCAAAAAGAGCAAATCATGAAATACCAGACCCAGTAAAATCAACTTGTTCACTGGAACACTAATAATAAAGATAAAGCTTCAATAATAGATAAATACTGTAGAAAAAGAAACTTTTAAGAACCTGTTTGGAAAATTTGAAGACAATCAAGAAAAAATCTGACAAAATATGAGATGGCTGGCTATAATTATTGATGTCAAAGCACAAACTTACAAGACTTCGAAGTAGCTGACAGACAATCCTGATGAATAGTGTCCATTAAATCATGAGGAATCAGAAGTGACTAAACAATTGAGTGACCAGGTGGCTAAGATTTTAGACTAGGATTAGAAAGATCCATGATTGAATTTCATATGTAGACATGAAAGCTCACTGAATGACTTTGGGACAGTCCTTATTTTTCAGCCAAACTTATTTCTCATGGTTGTGGTGGATTCAAATTGGAGGAGGGAGTAACCAACTTGACTCCCAGAAAGAAAGTCTGGCTATAAGTCTAACAAATAGTAAATAATGAATATCCACAAATGGAGGAATTATGTTTAAGGAAAACTAGCACAGCTATGCAAACTAACAGCAAATTAAATTCAGATCAGGATGTTCTAGCTTGACACCAACTGTCGTTTAGTTGTTATAGTACAAATAATATAGTCTTCTTTTCTTTCCAGAGTAATCCATGAAATTCTATTAATTTGATAATACATACTTTTGATAACTTGTTTATTTCAAATGCCACTTGACCGGTTTCAAGCAAAGCAATAACCAACCATTTGTGGGAGGGGGAGATACTATTTAGCAAAAACTTTCCAAAACTTCTTGAGACAATTTGCATTTTTCCTTTGAAAAGGATAAGCAGTGCATCAGTTCAATTAGTGAATGAACGAATGAACGAATGAATAAATGAATGATCCATGAAGGTATTGCAATTGCTCATGTTCTATCATCCCATCCCTGAGAAGAAAAGCCAGGAACTTGCAAGTTTCCATTAAAAAATAATCCATGGTTATTTTTCAGTAAAGCAATTTAAGGAAACTCAAGTCATTGTAATAGTTAGGTCAGAAGTAAGGTATCTATGTACAGATCAAAAGTTTCCTAACCATTCATTTTCTGATATCTTTTTATTAAACGTATTTTATTAAATTCAAAAGATACAGAGAAAATTACAATTTTTTATTAAATGATAATAAGTTAGAATACACACTTAGTCTATTGTCACTTAATGCATAAAGTTCTTGAACTCATAGGTATTCGTCATTCTTAATACCTTTAACTGAAACTGCCGAAATCTGGAAATTACTATTCCTTTTATTAGAAATATTGCTAAGACTCCACACCTAGCAACTCAATTAAAGATAAGTCATAATCAGTGTCTAAATCTCTAATAAAAGCTTAGATGCTATTTTGTTCTCATTTTAGTCTTTCATAAAATATATGTAGAGAGGTTAAAAAAAATACTGAAGAAGGTGGTGTTGTGTCTGGCTCGTCTAAAGCAATCAAATCACTCTGAAAATACAACATAATTTTATTTACATGCATACCTTAAATGGTGTATCCTGGATTGCCAGCAAAGCTGATTAGCCATCAAAAGCAGAACCATAGCTTATATACCTTTGGCCTACTACACTGCAAACACAAGACAAAGAAAAAAGTCAGACACCTTGGAAATTACAGTTCATGGTGGTGCGTTTTAAATATACTCGTCCATTTATGCCCTCATAGTAGACCTAGTATATTTTACGTATATTGGTGAATATAAATAATTTGCTTTATGGATTCTTCTACCTGTTCCCATTCAAGATCAATTCAGCTTGTTGTGAATTTTGCCTTACAACAATAATTGAAGCAATTCCTGTCTATGGGGGGAACATCTCATAGGTTTCATAGTCCAGTTTACAGCCATTGTGGGGTACCTTTTACCATTGATCACAAATATAAGTATCAGCATCAGATAATGGCTTCAATTATGTATGAGTTGACCACCAATTTGACTTTTTTTAAAATCTTTATTCCACCCTCAGCCCAGAAACTGCTGATCCCATCATTTTTCTCTATTGCAGAGCAGAAGCATTATAGAACACAAAAAATAATTTCTTCAAGAGAGAGAGAGTCAAGTATTATTTAAATTCATCTGCATATTTCACCAAACATATGGTGCTAATAGATTTTCAATCTAGATTTGATATAGGATTTTTTTTTTCTTCAGTTACCATATTGATGATAGTAGAAAAACAGGTAATGCTCTGCCTGTATTAGGACTAATATTCAATTAAGCACTAAAGGGAATTATGTTCAAATTGTCAAATGTTTAAGTTAAAAAAACTGTTTAGTTGTGAATGGCTTTACTATTAAATGGCTAGGCATCTTATGAAAAATATGTACATTCTCTTAACTTCTTTTTTTTAAAAAAAATACCCATTATCTAGGAATTGTTTATTAATCCATTTATTTAGTTAGGTTTTATTATTATATTCCCAAAGGATAAATATAAGATATGCCACTGAAATATTTGAATAGCACATTATTTCACAAAGAGCAACACATAACTTCTGGGGCAGCGAATTCTTTTCTTTTTCTCTTCAAATTATGCAGGCAGGTCTAGAAATGAGAAAAGAAAACAATACCAGAGAAAAGAAATAAAATCCTGTTTGGCAGGCTTGGAAATAGCTCCATTTATTTTCACACACAAAGCATGCTAAGCATATGCTAAGTAGAGAGACAAAAAGAGCAGGCAAGCCGCTCAGTTGATCAATGATCAACTTGCTCAGCTGGAAGGAAATTCTATTAAATTTATGGAAGTTTAGTTAAGTCTTATGGTGCCTGCCTTTTGGAATGAGTTTTCTTCTGAGATCCATATGGTTCTCACCTTGACAATGTTCTGGAGCAGGGGTTCTCAACCTTGGCAACTTTAAGACTTGTGGACTTCAACTCCCAGAATTCCTCTTTGCTGGCTGAGGAATTCTGGGAGTTGAAGTCCACAAGTCTTAAAGTTGTCAAGGTTGAGAACCCCTGTTCTGGAGGATATTAAGGCCCTGATTGTCCCAGGATATGCTGTCAAGTTGACCATTTTCTATGTAGATTGTTCATTTTTTTTAATCTATTTCTTATACAGGTAGTCCTTGACTTATGACCAAAATTGAGCCCAAAATTTCTGTTACTAAGTGATAGTTGTTAACTGAGTTTTGCCCCATTTTACAACTTTCCTTGCCACAGTTAAGTTAGTAACCTGGTTGTTAAGTGAATATGGCTTCTCCAAGGTCCAGTGATACTGCAATTGTCCTAAATATGAGTCAGTTGCCAAGTATCTGCATCTTGATCACATGACCATGGAGATGCTGCAGTGGTTTGAAAAATGATCATAGGTCACTTCTTCCAGTGCAATTGTAATTTCAAACGGTCTCTAAATGAACTGTTGTAAGTCCAGAATTACCTGTACTGTGAACTGCCCAGAGTCAGTCTGGAGCTAGGAGCACCTGAAATCAGTTAATTAAAGCTTGAAATTTACATATATGGGTAGAGAGATTCTAGGAACTGATAAAATACACACCTGCTTTAATGATTGAACAAAAGTTAATTCTTGCACTCTTCTGAATTCCTTTGCACAACCCAATAGTATCATAAGCATTGAGCATCTTAGTGTCTCCACTTCTATGAGGTGGAGAAGGACAAGGAATCATCTACAGTATATACCAAATCCTTTATGTAGTTAACTAATCTATTCATATTGGGGGGGGGAAACCCTTTCTTTTTCAAGTCTTTTAAGAGATTGAAAGATGACTAGCACTGACAATATTATCTACTTTAGGTAATGAAATGTCTTCAAGAAAACAACCAAGCCCAGAGAGCACCAAGAACTTCTCACTGAAAGGATTTACTTTAACCATGTCAGTTCAATATCAAGCTCAGATTCAAAAAGTGACTAAGGCCAGGCTCCATTTTATCAGGGGAGGCAAATGCAAGAACTAAGGAGTAAAATGGTTTCTTCAGACACCAACTTTTCTCCTTGATTTCCCTAAAGTGTAGATTTACAGACCCACAAAGGATGTTGATAGTCAATGAATGCTGCATCCCTGTTCTATATGAAGTGACAAATATTTGGAAGAGTTTAGCTTCTCTTTATTTGATACATAATCGGATATACTAGGATAAATATGCATCATTTCAGAAAAGAATATCTAAAATACAAAAAGGGGAACACATCAAACACAAGAATCTGAATACATATCTTCTGTACAATTTCCAGATATTTATCCATGTTTTGATATATCTGGGATGAAGAGTTTGATGTCCAAGCTGAAAATACTCCAAATATACTATATCTTTCCAGTTACTCAGTTGTTTATAACTTTTCTCTTTTCTCTGTTTTCTTTATTTCTCTGTTTCTCTGTCTCTGTCTCTCTCTCTCTCTCTTGCAGTATTATGTCCTGCAAATGAATTGCGCCTTGATTCAACTGGAGTGATCCTGAGCCCAGGCTACCCAGATAGCTATCCAAACCTTCAAATGTGTGCTTGGATCATTACAGTGGAAAAGGGTTACAATATCAGCCTTTACTTTGAATTCTTCCAGACCGAAAAAGAATTTGATATACTTGAGGTGTTTGATGGTAACTAAAGGATATTCAACTTTGAATGTGTCATAGTTGTTCTTAGCAAGTAATATTACATTATGCATCAGAATGTTATCAGAAATAACACAGTGTGATTGTTGCATACAATTAATGAACATTTTCACTTATGCTATGAATAGGTTGTTGTAATATATTGCATTATTCAAATGATTATTTATCCAAAAAAACCATTTAACATTTCTCTAATTTTGGTCTTTCGTTTTTCCTCATATGTGTTCCCTGGGATCAAGGACCAAATAGTCACAGCCCGTTGCTAATCTCCTTAAGTGGAGATTATACCTCCTCTCTCAATATAACAAGTATGGGCCATGAAGTATTTCTCCGATGGTCAGCAGATCATGGTACCAACAAAAAAGGTTTTAAGATAAGATACATAGGTAAGTCAATCTTTCCCCTTTTTTTCACTCTACTTCAAAAGAGTCAATAAGATGAACAACCAGCAGGTTGGGAGAGAGGAGAAATGGAAGCTGGATTAAGTCTATGTAGAGAAGGGGGAAATAAGATCTTCGAAGATGTGATTTTAAAATCCAACTAAATGCAAGTTCAGCTCAATTGTCAATATAATATCTAATTAGTAGATATGATGCTTTCTTTCTTTTGCCCATTCATGTTCAGGAATGTGGGCAACCATGAAGCATGTAGTTCTGTTTAGATTTCTTTAGATTTTGGTTTCACTTCAAGAAGAATCCACACCTTACTCGTGGTTTCAGTATAGACAAATAATGGATAGATGGAAGATAGATCATAATGTGGGTCTGCTTAGAGAAGATGAAAATTTTTTTAAACAAGTAAAGGATCAAAGGCGAACTCACATTAAGAGAATTTATGGGGTCCTAGTAGAATTGGATTCAGAACCAGAATTAATTAAAGATTGTATGATTAAGTGGGCACAAAATTTCGGTGAACCAGTTCTATTAGATACCTGGGAAACCATCTGGGTGAGGAATGTTCAATTTACTCAAGCCCAGAACTTAAGGGAGAATTTTTATAAAATGTTTTATAGATGGCACCTTGATCCACAAAAATTGTCTCGTATGTATCCTGACCTACAGCCTAAATGCTGGAGATGTGGTTGTTTGGATGCTACTTATTATCATATCTGGTGGTCGTGTAAAAATATAAAAGCCTTTTCGATTAAGATATGGTGGAATATCCAAAGAATTTTTAGAAGGAGGGTTAAATTTACCCCACAATTGTTTCTGTTAGGTATTGTTACTGATTGTGACACTAAGGAGGTTATATTGATGTTAAATTTAATCACAGCCGCAAGGTTGTTAGTAGGGCAATATTGAAAAAAGGAATCTTTGCCTACTTTGCAAGAGTGGTTTTCTAAAGTTTCTTATTTGGCGGAAATGGCAAAGATTTCGGCTTTTTTAAAGGATCAATCGCAAGAGAACTTCTTTGCGGTATGGGAAAAATGGATAGATTTTGTACAACACAGGTTGGATATAAAAAAATATTATTTAGTTTTTCAATAACTTATATATAAATTTTATATTTTATAGATTGTATTTTTCTTTTTTCTTTTCTTTTTTTCTCTTGCTCCTTATATCTTTTATCTCTACTTTATTTTTTTATATTTCTTTTCCTCTTTTTTCTTTTTTATTCTTCTTCTTTCTAAGCATTTTTTTTCTTCTTTTTTTCTAATAGTTATGCTTTTTACATATATATATTATTGTTAATTATGTTATAAGTTGTATAAGTATTGTATTTAGACTTATTTATGGTTTATATTCTTCTTTTTAAGATTTTAAGAAACTTAAGAAATTTTAATTAAGCCTATATTCAGCTCTGGGAAGGTCAAGGGAGGGAGTGGGAGGGTTGGGATGGGTTGGGTAGGGTTGTTTTTCTTTTTTGTAAAATTTTAAAAATTTTCAATAAAAAAAAAAGAAGAATCCACACTTTTACCTTGAATTTCACTTTAGACAAGATTTAGGTAGCAATTTTGAAGTGGAACAATTTCAGCTATTCCTACAAAGTGTGATCCGGGCAGTTGTTTTTAGAAAAAATATAGTAGTTCCATCCAAATTGGAAGATATCAACAAAATGCTCATGAGTTGGCAACAGTACTTTATTAAATTTCTTGAACCCCAAGATATTTATATAAATATATAGACAGAGAAAGAGAGAGACACAGAGATACACAGACATAGACACAGAGGGAGAGAGACACAGAGAGAGATAGAAATAGAGATTCAAGCATGCTGTTTTTAAGCAGTGAACACAGACAAAGAGAATTTACCACTAGAATGCTCGTTTCTATATACCAGTGTTCATTTCTGAATTATGCTAAAAACCTTTAAATTATAAGCTGGTTTTCCTTCATTTTTTATCATCAGTAGCCTCCTTACAAGATGTTATGGATGTGAAAGACAGCCTGCTATGCAAAACTCACTGAGGGGGGGGAGACAGGGAGAGAGAAAGAGAGATGTACATTTATAGAAAATTAACAAGTCATTTCCATATTCCACATAATATGTTTTGTGGCTCTCTGTCCTCCCCTTCCTGACAAAAGCGTTCACATTCCTTTTATTCAGCCAGCATATATGTCATCTTTCTTGCTCTTTCTGCCTAATATTAAATTACCTTGAATTCACATTAAAACAAGTGTCAATTACAAATTTGTAGAAACTTCAAATGGAAAAATTAAACAGAGGTTAGTTAAATTGCATTTCTAAGTGACATATATATATATAAAGGAGGAGAATTCATAATATTGGTGTTTGGGAAAAAAGTTAGTATGCCTTTGATTCTTATTTATAAGCTGTATTTCAATATTGTTATTTGCAATATCCTTTTACACATGGGTGTAAGAACACTGGAAGTTGCAATATCCTGTTGGTGGATTGGAAATTTAGTTTAACTATGTAGATATCACTATCTGTACATCTGTCTTTCCATACATTCCCATATGATTCCCATTTTCCCAGAAGAGAAATGATGCCAGGGAAAACATCCCATATAATATGAACCCAAGACAAATGGAATTATTTTTCTCTGTTAGGGTAAACAGGCAGTTTTATTTTCTCACTGTTTGTAGCATCATTGCTAAAAAGCAATCACACATATAATTCCTGCAGACACCTGCCTGCTATTAAACAGTACAATAATTAACATCATAGGAGGGAGAAATTCATGCATTGTTTCTTTTGTTCCATTTTTCAAGCTCTTTACTGCAGTACTCCAGAGTCGCCTCCTCACGGTTTCATTGTAAGCCAGACAGGAGGGCAGCTGAACAGTGTGGTTCGCTGGGCTTGTGACCGAGGATTCCGTCTCATTGGAAAAAGCACCGCTGTGTGTAGAAAATCTCCCCTTGGATACTATGCATGGGATGTACCTGTACCAGCCTGTCAAGGTTAAGATTTTCATTACAAATTTATATTCTCATAGTTTGGCATTGATAATGTTAGCCATTTGAAGTAGACCAAGTCAGGTAACAGACATTACAAAAAATATTAGAACTCTACTTTATGGATAGTAGCTATAAAAACAGAATTTTGAAAGCTTGGTAGATTTTCTTGTTCCTTTCCTCGTATGCTCAACAGAGGCAAAGTGGGCCAATCTTGAGTTTCTTCTTTATTCCTTTCTTTATTGGGGGAAGGGTTAATTACTGCCCCATTTTTTTTCCAAGGCTATCTCTGTGCACTTCTACAAATGCCAACCAACCCCATATATCCTGGTTTATGTGCAGCTCTGCTTACTTTCCTTAATATAACACACAGCAGCTAGTTTAAAAATACACATCTCTCCAGTTTATGAAATATAATTGGTTTGCCAGTTGCTTTCCAGTCACAATTAATAGTGTGTGTTGTTTCTAAATTGGACCATTTATAAATGGACATGTGAGGAGATCAAGTGGCAAAAGTCTTGACATTTATCCACTTGCATGCAAATTGTGATGCAAGTATGGAAGGGGTATTGTGACACCATGATACCCATTTCTTCATTTTGGCACCATTACAGCTAATTGAAGATGACTGAAGTCCAAAATAAATTGAGTCTTAAGGTCTTTACCATAGGTCTTTATCAACAGTAGTTTACTCAGGCAATACGTTACCACATAGAAATGATGGTATGAGGCAAAGTGAGCAGTTCTTAGTTTTCTGAAATCATGCCGGTGATCACTGAAGAGAACGGCCTTTACTTGCTTGTCATCAGTAGAAACTTCATATGCCCCAAAAGCAGGGATTTTTTTCTCATAGAATGCCCAGAACGGAGTTCCGGCACCTTTTTTGGATGGAACCTTGTAGGGTAGGCAAGGCAGGTTGTATGACATGTGTGAGTTCCGGAACCCTTTTTTTTTTTTTTTTTTTTACAAAAAAAGCACTGACCAAAAGATTTTTGTTTGTTAACTGATATCAGAACTTATGAGATTTAATGTTCACACTGGAATTTAATGAATACATTTATGTCTCATTATCTTTGGACATTAGAGTATTGGTGATTGGAGAATGGATCTTATCATGGGGTCTTCTTTATGGAATGCTGTCCTATGAGACATGTTAACAATATGATTTCAAGCTTACTTTTGTTAAAATCCTGGCCAGAACCTTTAACTTTTAACCTACATGGCTTAGGAATGGATTACCTGGAGCAATTATCTTTTTTCCAAGCGTCTATACTCTTTTAACTTGATCTAGCAGAATGGACATGCTGCAGATTCCATCAGCCAAAGAGTGTTGACTGGCAGGGAATAGAAGATGATCTTTTTCTGCGGTGGCCCCTGCAGTGGAATATCCTCCCATCGGACATTAGAATGTCCCCAACCCTGAAAGCCTTTTTTAAGGTCCTAAAAATCTGGCTCTGTTCCCAACCCTGGAAGTCCTGAATGTGTCAGAGGCTGCATTTCCTGGCTTTATTGTTAACTGGCCAAGTATCTCAGCTGCTATATATATTTATTTTGGATTTTTTTATTGTTTTAAAATATTTTTAATATTTTAATTTTAATATATTTTCTGAATTATAAGCCATCCAAAGTCATTGTTTGAGATGGGTAGCTATAGAAATTGAATAAATAAAATAATAAAGTAAAACTCATTGGACTTCAAATAAATTGACCAGTAAATTGACTGTTGACCAATTCTAAATGTATCTCCTCTTCCATTTTCATTGCAGCCATATTCAGTGTAATACTATTTTATATTTCGCAGCAAAACAAGGAACCTTATTTTCAGTTACTTTAACTCAAACTCAGAAGAGATTATGAATTTCAGATTATTGAAACAAATGCAAATGCATTTTTTTACCTCTTACAGTTTCTTGTACCAAAACATCATTAATTCTAAAAATGCTGTCATAGTTATGATGTTTCTACATATATATTTTACCTGTTTAATTCCTTTTTGAAATATATATATATATATATATATATATATATATATATATATATATATATATATATATATATATATATATATATGTTTTCTGAGGTTTTCGCGGGTATTTGTATGTAGGTCTTTGGTTGTTCGGGTTTTCTCCCGCGTAAAATTGGAAGTGTCTTGGCGACGTTTCGACGAAGTCCCATTCGTCATCTTCAGGCTGGTGTTTTCAGCTTCGTGCTTTGAGCAGCAATGTGTGGTCTTAGCTGTTTCTTCCTTTTAACTGCCAGTGGGGGTATGAACTGATTTGTGGGAGCTTGGCTGTGTTCTGATTGGGTGGAGGTGTGTTCTGAATGGTTAGGGGCTTGGCTGTGCTCTGATTGGCTGGGGGAGTGTTCTGTTTGGTTGTGCTCAGGTTAGCCTGAGTTGCAGAGGGGTTTAAGATTTTGGGCTGCCTTGCTATTTTTTGGCTTCTCGTTCGTGGTTGTGTCTCCTCTCAAAAAACAAACCCAAAGCCACACCGATGACGAGGCACGACCACAAACCAGAAGCCAGACCACAGCTGCATCATTAGCCACTTTAAACCCCTCCAATTCATACATGAAGCAAACTGACACCCTCCATGAAGAGGAGACAAGAGGAGATTCTATGGAATCCATTGGATGTTAGTACATTGGTGAGAGTGTGTAGTTCGGGTTTTAGGTGTTGTTCGTCAGCTAAGCGTTTTGTTCTGGAGATGAGTGTCTTGGCTACAGAGTTGATCTGTGCTGGGTGGTGGTGTGAGAGAGCGTGCAGATAGCGGTTTGTGTGTGTTTTCTTCTGGTAGATGGTGTGTCCTAGGGAGCCATTGGATTTCTTGTAGACTAAGACATCCAGGAAGGGAAGTTGGTTGTTAGCTTCTGTTTCCATGGTGAACTGTATTTTGGGGTGTAGGCTGTTGAGGTGTGTGAGGAAGTTGTCCAGTTTTTCTTTCCCATGTGGCCAGATTATGAAGGTGTCGTCTACGTATCTGAGCCAGAGTTTGGGTTTGTGATCCGATTTTTCTAGAGCTTGGGTTTCAAAGTGTTCCATGTAGAGGTTTGGCAATGACAGGTGAGAGGGGTGATCCCATGGGTGCTCCTTCTGTTTGTTTGTATTTTTGTCCATTATAGATGAAGTATGTGTTGGATAGGCAGTGGTTGGTCAGATCTAAGATGTGTTTGGGGGGGTTATATTTGTTTTGGATAGCTGTCAAGGCTTCTTTGATAGGCACTTGGGTGAAGAGGGATATGACATCGAAGCTCACTAGTAGGTCGCTGGGCTGTAAGTTTTGTTTCTTTATGATCTCTATAAACTGGAATGAGTTTTTTACGTGTGAGGTGATGGATTCTGCATAGGGCTGTAGTTGTTTGGCGAGAAATTTGGCTAGGTTTTGTAGAGGTGAGCCTATGGAGCTGACTATAGGTCTGAGTGGGGTTCCTTCCTTGTGTATCTTGGGGAGACCATAGAGTTTGGGGCATCTGGATGATTTCTCTCTGGGAATGATTCTTTGCTGGATCTCTTCGCTAATGGGGGAGGCTTTTATTTTGGATCTGGTGGTTTTTTCCAGGTAGGTGGTGGGATCTGTATTTAGGGGTTTGTATGTGGAGTCTTGGAGTAGGTTGGTTAATTTGGTTTGGTAGTCAGATGTGTTCATAACCACCGTGGCGTTGCCCTTGTCTGCTGGTAGGATTATTATGCTGGTGTCTTCTTTAAGGTTACGTAGTGCTGTCTGTTCCTCTTTGGGTAAGTTGCTTTTGGGTGGCTTGCTGGTGCAGAGGATGTTGGTGATTTCGAGTCTGATTCTGTTGGCGTCGTCGGGGTTGATTTTAGTCAGGCTGGTTTCAACTCCACATATAATGGTTTCAGTGGGGATGTGTTTGGGAGCGACTGCAAAGTTGAATCCTTTGGAAAGGACATTGGTTTCGGCTTTGGTGAGGATCCTATCTGAGATGTTATGCACTGTTTGCTTCATGTGTGGCTGTGAGGGAGGAGGGGTTTGTTTCTGGCGTTCTTGTAGTCTTCGGAGTTTGTTGGTGTGTGTATCTGTCTTGAAGGTGGTCTGTGTTTCGGCTCTCCAGACGGCAAGTTGTTTGGATTTGTCCCAAAGTGCGGGGTGGATCTTGTTGCTGAGTTTGAGGTGGAGTGTGAGGAGATCTTTGTTAATTCGGTCTAGGAGGAATCTTTTTGTGTGAAGTTCATTTCTGATTAGGGCCAATTCTGTTCTTTTCAGGATCCGTTTGGTGGCTGCAGAGTTGGAGTGGAATTTCAGTTGGAAACATGTGGGGATTAGATTTTGATCTCGGCAGTTGCGTAGGAATGCGAGGTCGCATAAAATGGAAGCTCTTTGGACTTCAAGTTTTTCATAGGTCCTGGTCAGATGGTGGATTTCCTCCCCGTAGAGGTTCAATATTTGTTTTCTGAGGTTTTCGCGGGTATTTGTATGTAGGTCTTTGGTTGTTCGGGTTTTCTCCCACGTAAAATTGGAAGTGTCTTGGCGACGTTTCGACGAAGTCCCATTCGTCATCTTCAGGCTGGTGCTTTCAGCTTCGTGCCTCGAGCAGCAATGTGTGGTCTTAGCTGTTTCTTCCTTTTAACTGCCAGTGGGGGTATGAACTGATTGGGTGGGAGCTTGGCTGTGTTCTGATTGGGTGGAGGTGTGTTCTGATTGGTTACGTGGCTGTGCTCTGATTGGCTGGGGGGTTGGCTGTGCTCTGATTGGCTGGGGGGTTGGCTGTGCTCTGATTGGCTGGGGGAGTGTTCTGTTTGGTTGTGCTCAGGTTAGTCTGAGTTGCAGAGGGATTCAAGATTTTGGGCTGCCCTGCCATTCCTTGGCTTCGCGTTCGTGGTCGTGCTTCCTCTTCATGGAGGGTGTCAGTTTGCTTCATGTATGGATTGGGGGGGTTTAAAGTGGCTAATGATGCAGCTGTGGTCTGGCTTCTGGTTTGTGGTCGTGCCTCATAGTCAGTGTGGCTTTGGGTTTGTTTTTTGCGTGGATGTTTGGTGGTGACATCCTGTG